TTGCTACAACAGCATGTTTCTTTCCAGTCTAATTTCAGTGGGAGAAGGGGAGGAAAGAAGGCCCCTGTGGGTGTATGTGTGAGTGCCTTGGTGATTTTATAGAATGGTGAGAGTGGCATGAGTCTGTTTGGGAAAACTCGATGGCAGTTTTGTTCCTTACATAAAAGACACCCACTTATCCACTTCCAGTGTTATTGGACATGATCCCGGTTATGAAACTCATGACTGGTGCTCACTGAAAACTTACTCACTGTGCTGTTAGGAGCCCTTGATCAATAGATCTCACACCTTACCAAGGCAAATAGCTATTAACTGTGGTACACTCTGAGCTCTTCCTTGCAGTCCTTCCAAGACACACACACACACACACACACACACACACACACAGAGAGAGAGAGAGAGAGAGAGAGAGAGAGAGAGAGAGAGAGAGACCTGAACCAGGAACTTCCCTCACAAAGATTGCATGGTTTGAGATTGATTTTTATTTTGCAATAGCCAATGCTTAGAGCTAGAGGTGTGGGGATGATCTCCATCTTGTGGCAATTGTAGAGTATTTATTCTCTTTCTACTCCTTATTTCACTGTGTTGAGCTTTTCTTAAGTGCTCTCTCTTGCTTAACTATTTTCCTTACTATGTACACTTAAAAAAGAAAAGGAAATTAAGAGCTTGGGGTTGTTGTTTTTAAGTCAATCCACCATGAGCTATTTATATACCATGCATGGTGCACCTTGATAGACTAGCAATTTGAACCAGGAGAAGTTAGCCATCACATAACAGGTCCTCAGTCTGGTGGACTCCTTCTATATAGCACTACAAGGCTGCATCCACATCACGCATTTAAAGTCTTTGCTTCGTAAGGGTGTTTTTTTAACCCCAGGTATCTGCAAATACTATTTGGAAATTTAAGAACTTTGTTAGTGGGAGGAACCTAGCAAGCCAATAATGCACACTGTTGAAGTAGAAAATGTTGTGTTAAAAATGCAAGAAGCTTATCATCCTGGCTTAGGCATTTCAAGGGAAATTGTGATTTTCTATATTGAAGATACTTTCCAGGAAGAGGGCAGTTTATTATTAAAATGCATCTTTAGTCAAGAAGAGGAACAATAGTTGTTGGAAAAATAAATTCACACTAGAAACCAGAAAGTTTTTTTTACTAATGGCCCAAGCTATCTGAACACAATGAATATGCTCAGTTATCCTTCACATCAAGTCTGGGATGATCTTCTAAAATAAATATGTTAGACCTGAAATAGGAAACATATGGCCCTCCAAATGTTGTTTGATTGCAGATCCCATCATCCATAACCATTGGCCAAGCTGGTTGGATTTGATGGGGTGTCCATTAACACCTGGAGGTTCACAGGTTTCTCATCCTGCCTTAGATAGCTATAATGGCTTCCATCTCATAATTATAGGAGTGCTCACTTTAAAAAGTAACACAGTGCCAGCATTCTTACAAATGAATGAATGGCTATTGATCTTAAGCAGCAAAAAGGGGGATATAAAAAAGGGTGTGAGCTCAGCATCCAGTTGCTGTGTATCAGATCATCATAATGGCTGAAGGCACTGAAATAAGCCCAGAACAACTTTTTTTGTCCTCAACACATTGTAGCCTTGATCTTCTCAGGCAAGCCTTGTTTCCCAAGCAGCCCTGATCTGTTTCTGGTTCAGGATAAAGGATAATAAAGTTCCTACTGAATTATAGCACAACCCTAATCCTATAATGGAGCTTCCTCCTGGTAAACAGAGTTAGGATTGGAGCTTTTGGTGTTCCTAGAATTGTTGACAGTGATTCTGGCAGATGCAGATAGTCTGTATGTTGCTTTGGGAAGGCTCTCTGTTTATTTTCTGTCAAATGCCTAACAAAAATTGTACCAGTTTCTGAGAATCTGCTGCATGGTACAAATTTTCATCTTTTGCACCATTTGAAGGTTCTCTGAAGGAAAATTTCTCAAACTGCAAGGTAAAGTTACACAAATTGACTGGATAGCTCAGTCAGTAAAACATGAGACGCTTAATCTCAGGGTCATAGGTTTGAGCCCCAGACTGGGTGAAAGCTTCCTGCATTGCAGGGGTTGGACTAGATGATCCTCATGGTCCCTTCCAATTCTACAATTATATTCTATTGACTTACTGCTTTGCACAAGTAATTTCCAGCTTTTCTAACATAAGGACTAGTTTCTCTTATTTCTCTTTTACACCAAACAAGGAGACAGTGTGGTGTAGTGGTTAGTGTTGGACTAAGACCTGGGAGACCAGGGTTCATATCCCCACTCGACCATGAAGCTCATGAGGTGACCTTGGGCCAGTCACTGTCTACTGTGTTTTCAGAGATGAGGGTTCTGCCATCATTATCCTTCTGTTTCCCAGCAGGCTTTGGTGCAAACTGACACCTGCACAACAGGCCAAAAAAAACCCCATTTGAATGTCTGCTGCCTCCTCCCCTTTCTGTTTTCAGACTTGACCAGATAGAGAAAACATGTCTTCAGCATCACCCATAAGCTACTTTTTCCTCTCCTCACTGCTGTTTACCATCTAGCCTGATTTAGAGTTCTTAAGAACTCAAAAGCTTGCACATTCTTTTGTGATACTTTGGTATTTTGGAATTTCTCGTTTTTGGAATCTTTTAATACTGCAACTTCAGCTGAGTGACTTGTATCATAATCACTGGGAACTGTTGTAAATATGTGTGATCTGGTGCCATCTAGCGAGCTCCACAGTATATGCAAACTGTTAGCAAGGCAGCTAACGTGCAGAAGAGTTGCTGAAACAGCCAGACTGATGCTCATTCACCCTGGCCAAGTTGACTAATTGCGGTAGACTATGGATGGTGTTCTTGAAGCTACCAGCATGAATTTGATCAAACTGCGGGAGGCAGTGGAGGACAGAAGTGCCTGGCGTGCTCTGGTCCATGGGGTCACGAAGAGTCGGACACGACTAAACGACTAAACAACTAAACAACAACAACAACAACATGAATGCTCATTCTGTTGAAATGTGCTTCCTGTTGAAAGATGAACAACACCTTTGTTCGGATGCTCATCTGAATGTGGGTATTGTCCACCTCCCCTTTACTGCTTTCAGTGGGATGTGCATGCAGTTGTGGGTCTTCATCCACATTCTGCTTCAACAGTACTGCAACTGCATACATGTATAGCTGGCCTGGGAGAGGGGAATACTAATAGGCAACTAAACCAGGATGGCAAAATAGGAAGTTGACTGGGTAAGGGTGGTGTTCCTTTCTCTCCTGCCTCTTCACATTGAAGGAAGTGTGACGGTTTTGTCTGCCTCCAGTAATGTCACTGTGTAGCCAAATTTGATCAGTTTTGGAACTCCTGCCCATCAGAGAGAAATTTGTTCTCCTGGTTGACGTCTTTTGGACATCAGTTAAAGCCTTCATCTGGCCTTTGGGGACTGAAGAGATGGTAGGATGGTTCCTATTCAGTGTGACTTCTGTTATTGGTGCTATTTTGTATACTGTGAGTTCAAATAATATAAAACAATCTCTAGCTTCTCTGCACCCTTCACCTTTTACCTTTTGCTTTTATGACCAGGACAAATGTACATGCTCTCTACTTCAGTGAAATGTGACATCAATTGCTGAGGGATATGTTTTAATTCAGCCAGAATCCATAATACATGTAGATCATAAAACCATGTTAAATGTGAAACAAAGATGGTAAAATATGCACACAAGTTCATCCATGCATACAAGGAATATGGAGAACGGGGTCTATAGGTCTAGTGGCAAATATACTAATAGAGGAATCAACCAACCAAGAAAGCAGTTGTGATTGTAGTTCTATAAACCTTTCAGTAACTTTGTAGAATTAGACAACATCAACATGGAGTACGTCATGTTGAATATGGTGATCTTTGCTTCGAAGCAATCTGAGCATAGGAGTATAGCAAATATTCCCTTCTGAAATAGCTGAAGCTTCCTAATTTACTAGTTGTTATATTTTAATCATTTTTAGCTAAGTTATGCTGCCATTCTATTGGAAGAAATTTCCAGTGTGGTTTGTTCCCAGGTAAATAGTGTAGGATTGTTGCTTTTAGTGAGAAAGCTTAGCATTTTTAAAAAGCAAAATTTGTTTGTGTTAATAAAACCTAGGACAACTTTATTGAATCATATTTATTGAATAATTATCACCCCCCTCAATTTAGAGTCCCTGCTGCAAATGGTATGCAAACTAACCATGTTTAATCAGAAGCTTAATGGGGTTCACACCCTGTCAACCTTTGGCTGAATAAACAGTCCCCAAATCAGATTTATATATTCCAAAATAAGTAATAAAAATAAAACCCTTTTAGTATTTTTGGGGAGAATGTTCATTTTTATTGCCGAGATTCTCCCCATTAATGATAATTGCATTCTGCTTCATCTATCTAAGCCATTTTTAATTTCTTTCCAAGTCCTCACATAATTATCTATATAGATGTTATGATTATTTACCTATAGCCACACTCCTAAGTACTTCGCTTTTTTCTCTTATTTTTCAGCTGGTAATTTCCCCTAATTTCTTCTAATGCTATTCTTATTGCAAATGACCCCAATACTTAACAATACACGATGTCTGAAAAATTGGTGAAAAGATCTGTCTAAGTTTATCTGGAGGGGGAAGAAACCTAGGATAAAACATACGATCCTTATCGACATAGAAGACAGAGGAGGTTTTGCACTCCCTGACTTAGAATTGAATTTTGAAGCTCCCTACCTGTGTTGAATTAAAGACTGGGTATTGCTAGAAAATAGGGACGCGGGTGGCGCTGTGGGTTAAACCACAGAGCCTAGGACTTGCCGACCAGAAGGTCGGCAGTTCGAATCCCCGCAACTTGGTGAGCCCCCGTTGCTTGGTCCCTGCTCCTGCCAACCTAGCAGTTCGAAAGCACGTCAAAGTGCAAGTAGATAAATAGGTACCGCTCCGGCAGGAAGGTAAATGGTGTTTCCATGTGCTGCTCTGGTTCTCCAGAAGCGGTTTAGTCATGCTGGCCACATGACCTAGAAGCTGGGTTAGCGGAGTCCGTAACCTGAAGCGTATGTAACCTGAGGTACCACTGTATAAGAATTTAAAAGAAGACTGGACATTATATATAGATTATATGGAAAAATATTATAACAATAAAATAATCGTAACAGGCTGACAAAAAACACTCAGCAGTAGATGTTACAACGTGGGATAATATAAGGTACTGAAAACAACTTAGTAGAGTAAGAAAACACAGTTGATAAGATAGCACTTAGGAAACCATGGAAAGAGTGGAAGGGGAGTAAAAACTAAGGTTTATGAGAGTCAAATAAACTGAAGGAATAAGCTATGTTACCATTATTATTCATATATATGTGTTGTATATATATGTTTGTTTTCCCCCCAATTGTCCTGTGTCTGACTGTAACACAGTATGCGTTGATGATATGATAAAACAGAAAAGCAAATTGAAAAAAGAAAAAACCCTTTTGGCAGTTGTACTGAGCATAACACCAGGTGGAAAGTCAAAAATATGTGGGTGGAAGAAAAGCTGTATATGAGAGAAATAGGATGTAGGTAACTAAACTCAATGGTATTTCTAGAGGGAGGATATAGTGGGGTAGAAGTAAGCTGTACCAAATTAGGAAGTGGGTGAAATTAGTTTCTGGCTTCTTCTCTGTAGTGATACAAGTGAATAGCCCTATAAATTTGAGGAAGCCCTATCCTTGTAGCAGAAGGCTTTTACTGCAAGAATGGATAACATGTGGCCTTCCAGATATTGTTAGACTTCAACTCCCATCAGTCCCCCCCAGAATGGCCAATGATTAGGGATGGGGCTTATAGTCCATCAACATCCAGAAGACACAGTTTCGTTAACTCTCCTGTACTGCATAGGCCTCAGTTTTGAACAAATACATGGTGTGAACAGACTCCAGCTGAGGTATGAGGCCGTTGCTCTTCTCACCCACTGTAAAGCCAGCTGATTAGACCTCCCTAACTATACCCTGGCTTTAAATGAGAGCTATTTTTCTTCCTTGAAGTAACCCCCTTATAATTTGATGTTATATCCACAGCTTCTGCCTGAGCTCCCCCTAGATAAGAACCAACCAGTTTCGCTTTTCTTCCGACACACTTCCTAAAGCTATTTTAATCCCGTCATTGGACAGCTAATGTTCTCCCCTCTCTACAGAAAGTACTAGGACATAAAATGGGTTGCGTTCAAGGTTGTGGATTTTTTGCTGCTGTCCATAGGTACTGGCAAGCAACAGAGACATCACAGTATTCCCATCTGCCTCTGATGCTCATAGTTAAGTTACATAAGACCCATGACAATGGTTTTGCAGTGCTCTCTCCTCCTTTTATGCATGCTCTTCTCAAACCAGGGCTTTCCCTAATTTGTTGTGCTAGTGCTTTGGCTGGTGTCTGTTGATTTCCTAACTAATCATGACCAGATCTTTCAGCACAAGCATTTGAGGATCCTGTGCTAACGTCAATGGCGGCACCAAAAAATAAGAATGGGAGGACACAGAAGGGACAAAGTTCATATCTAAATAGGTGAGCTGTGTTCCACAGGTTAAGATCACTGAAATAAAATTAACAGTATAGGTTAATGACAGGAGTCCAGCAATGGGAGACAAATGGGGTGACCTCTTTGTTTAGAGACACTTCAGAGTTGTCACTGCTCTGCCATGCAAAACACTGCATTCTCAGTTATTCCATTGGAGTCTGAGGGAGAGATGGAAGAAGATGCAACTTTTGATGTCAAAAAAGTTTTTTATGAACTGTGGTGTCCTTTCTGCCTTTGTCCAATGTGCCTAATATATTCTACTATGTAGATAGTGGCTCGTGTCCTTGACCAAGCAGTTTACTTCCCCTTCTTGACACACTTATCCAGCAAAACTTTTACTGAACCAGCTGAAGTAATTTTTGGTCTCTTTCCATTTAGGGAGGCTGTCTGATAGCCAAATAACGTCACTCCTCTCTTACTTTGGCCTTCCAAGCTTCCCGCAGTGTGGCCTTCACTTTGAAATTTGGTACTTGAAGCACAACTCCAAATTTCCCCTCTGGTTCAGGCAGTGTGTGGCCTTGAGGGACGCTGAGTGTGAATCTCTGCAAGGTCCACGCTATAAAGAGGAACAGCTCCATCTTGGCCAGTACTTCTCCCAAACAAACCCGGATACCAGCTCCAAAGGGAAGATAACTGGGGGAGGGAGAGGCGATTCTCTTCCCATCCTTATCCAGGAAACGTCCTGTGTGGGAGGAAGAACACACATAAACATATCCCCAGGAAACATAAATAAAACATAAACTGATACCATACAAGAACTTGGCTGGAATATCTCTATAGTCCAGATGAAGGGAAACTTTGACCCTCCAGATGTTGCTGAGTTATAACTCCCATCATCCCTGGTCCTTGGCCATGCTTGCTGAGGCTGATGGGAGTTGTAGTTCCTATGCTACCAGATCATGTTCATGGTTCTTGTATTCTTTAATGAGCCCCTTAACAAGTTGGGTCCAGGACACCTCGTACCTGATCCCTTATATCCCTGCTCAGGCACTAGGGCCTTTTTGGGGGAGTCACTATTAGTGGTTCCTCATGGCTCGGATGCATGGCTCGTACATTCAGTACTGTGGGCCCAGTTTTGTGGCACTCCTGTCTTCCTGTTGCACTTTTGGCACCTACTGAAGACTTTTTTTAATTATTCCAGCAGGCTTTCTGAATGAATTCTGATTTTATTGTTTTAACTCATTTTTAGTCTTATTATAATGCTCCTCCAGTATTGCTGTGATCCAGCAGTATACTATACACAGTGTTGAAATAAACAAATATTTGGAGGGCCGAAGGCTCTTCACATCTGCTACAGACCCTTCCCAAATGTGCCTGTGGACAGTAATTCTATAACGCAGGACCAGGGAGTCCCCCACACCTACCGGCCCCCTGTCCCCCCTGAAACAGTACTTCTGTCTTGTCAGGGTTCAACCTCAATCTGTTAGCTGCCATCTATCCTCCAACTGCCTCCAGACACTCACACAGGACATTCACCACCTTCACTGGTTCTGATTTAAAAGAGAGGTAGAGCTGGGTGTCATCTGCATACTGATGAACACCCAGCCCAAACCCCCTGATGATCTCTTCACATAGATCACATAGATCTTCACATAGATGTTAAAAAGCATGGGGGAGAAGATAGAGTCCTGAGGTACCCCACAAGTGAGAGCCCAGAGGTTTGAACACTCATCCCCCAACACCACTTTCTGGGCACGGCCCAGGAGGAAGGAGCGGAACCACTGTATGACAGTGCCCCCAGCTCCAGAAGGATGTCATGGTTGATGGTATCAAAGGCCGCTGAGAGATCCAGCAGAACTAGAAAACAGCTTTCACCTTTGTCCCTAGCCCTCCAGAGATGTGACCAAGTCAGTTTCAGTTACTGGGCTGGAAAAGGAATAGAAAAAGTGTGTTGAAAATCCACCCTGCCCAGACAAAAAGGGAATTTAAGCAGTGCACGCACGCACGCGCACGCACGCACGCACACACACACACACACCACACACACATGCCAGGAGGCAGTGTGGCAGACTCACCTGGATTAAATTCCCCTGGCTTGTCCCACTCTTTCTCATCATGGTGAATGGACCACAGGTTAATCACAACGTGAGCTCCCTTAGGAATGTCGTATTTCCCAATGCTGCAGAAAGACAAAGGCCATCAGTGGCTTCCTCTTAAAAAGGTAAAGGTAAAGGACTCCTGACAGTTAAGTCCAGTCGTGAACGACTGGGGCTGTGGCGCTCATCTCGCATTACTGGCCGAGGGAGCCGACATTTGTCTGCAGACAGTTTTTCCGTGTCATGTGGCCAGCATGACTAAGCTGCTTCTGGTGAAACCAGAGCAGTGCACAGAAACACCATTTACCTTCCCGCTGGAGCGGTACCTATTTATCTACTTGCACTTTGACGTGCTTTCGAACTGCTAGGTGGGCAGGAGTGGAGACTGAGCAATGGGAGCTCACCCCGTTGCGGGGATTTGAACCGCCGACCTTCCAATCGGCAAGCCCTAGGCTCAGTGGTTTAGACCACAGCATCACTTGCTTCCTCTTACTGATGCCCTTATGTCTCCTTCCGCACCTCAGCTTTGCAGCAGATCTCACTTTTGGAAATGGACTTTACCTTGTATCTGCCAGTGCCTCGTGTGGGATAAGGAGTGGGGCTACAGGCCGGATGCGCAGAGTTTCACTAATGGTAGCGTCCAAATAAGGCAAGTGCTGCCGGTCATCAAGCTGAGGAAATCTGTTAAAGCCAAGTTTCTGATCCAGTTCCTCTTGGATCTTTTGCTGCACCTGGGAAGTGTGGAAGAGTTAGACAAATCAGACGAGAGCAGCAGGTTAGGAAGTCTCTCTTTCCCCCCTAATTTCTTTAACTGTCGGCCTCACCATTTTTCTTACAGTTGGGCGACTCAACAGTGGAAAGAAAGCTACTGCCTCTTCATGTACTTTTGAAATAGGGCTTCATGTATTAATTCCTTTGCTCACGCAATAGGTGTGAGAAACTACACCGCTAGTGGATAACAGCTTTTCCACTTCCCATTTACCAAGACCTCCTGTGCTAACAGAGGAGTGCGGGAAGCTATGGTATTGCTTGTTTGGGGAGGGCTGGAACATAAGGGAGCCATTTTTAATTACTGTATGCAGTCATCAGTGTGTGGATTGGGTGATTCCCCCTCTCCATGCCTCTAAAAATGGTGCAGTCCCATGAAGAAAGGTCACTTCCAGATAGGAATGAGCAAATCTTTCAGTTTCAATTTCTCTCAGTTTCTCATTTTAAATTCAGTTCCACATCTTTTTGTGATTTCTTTTTAAAGTCCTCGTGAAAATTCATCAGCATTTTAGCACAAATTTCTCCCAATGTGTACATTTTTGTATACAATTTTGCCCAAATATACATTTTTTCCTCCCCCCAAATATAATGCACTTTTCTGTGTTATTTTAACTAATACATGCATTTATATGTATACTTTACCCTAGTATATGCACTTTTGGTACCCATTACTTTGTAGGAGAACTGCATTGCATAATTCAGCGACGTGTTAATTTTGAAGGATGGCTTTCTTTTGGTTCACATACTGTTTCCGAAAGTGTGAATTAGATAGGTTCACCTTTAAATGAGAACGGCATCAAAATTCTCCCCCATCCCTGTTTCCAGATGACCTATTTATTGAGCATTCATCCTGACTTGTTTGCATTAGATGATATCGACTGTTTCATAGAATCATAGAATTGTAGGGTTGGGAGGTACCAAGAGGGTCATTTAGCCCAACTCCCTGCAATGCAGGAATCGACGTGGGGCTTGCATAGGATTGCACTTTATGCTACTCTTCTCTGTCTTGTTCACATAACACACTGTCAAGAATCCCCAGGAATTCGGGCAGGACTAGAGGAGCTGTACCTCTGGGTAGTGCAGGAGATAGAGCACAATCCACTTCAACACAGTTGTGGTCGTCTCCACACCAGCTCCAAAGATGTCAGCCACTGTCATGAGCAGGTGGTCGTCCGTCAGCTCCTGCCCAGGCAACAGTTGACTGTTGTTGTTTTCCATGTTGAGTTTGGCTCTCAGGAGTACGTTTATTAAACAATTGGCAGAATCGTCATCGCTGAACAATTCCTGGGTAGAAGATGAAAGCAACTGTGGGCTAAGATCGAGCGACAATTTAAGGTCTAGGCCATCATCTACCTACCCCCAACCCCCAAACAACTACTGTCATAAGTCTTTAAAAATGCCAGCTGCCAGCCACTGCCACTGTCAGACCTCCCCCAAAACACGTAAGAGGGAAATACAATATAAAATACAAATCTTGTTTTAAAATTCTGAAGCTGTGACTATATGCCCACTAATTTGAAATAAATTCTGTTGAGATCAATATAACATTTTGGAACATGGGCAAAAGTATCATGAAATGGGCGAGTCAGTATAGATTAGGTTTTTTTATATATCTAATGGCTGCAGTCCTGTCCTGCAAAGCCTATTTGCACTGTAATGGCTCAGCAGCCAGCAATTTTTTAGGGAACATGAGGAGTGTTTTATTTGTTTATTGTAAATTGAGCCTTACACTGCAAGACTCTGTCTATTGAGAAGTATGTCCCACTGAGCTCAATAGCACTTACTCTCTGGTATTGCAGCCTGATCATTCTTATTATTCTTATTCTTATTATTTATATACCGCCCTATACTTGGGTGTCTCTTGGGCCAGCCCTGATCTCTGCCCATACGTTAAATGAATGAATGAATCTTAGTCACTGTGAAAAGTGACTTTGACTTTTATGGAGGTGAGAAGCTCAGAGTAGCATTTTTTAGTTTCACAAGAAGAATAAACTTGTAAGGTAGATTAGCCCAAGGCTACCCTGAACATTTATCAAAGCTGAGCGAGGATTTGAAACTGGCTTTCCCGCTGCTAACCCCAAAAGTATAACCACTGTCTTGACAGGAAGAACACAGTAATGCTTTGAACTCCATGAGGAAAGGCAGAATATACCGGTACATATTTTAAATAAAGGAAGCTGCTGTATAGTATTTCTACTTTGCCATCACCATCTTTTGGGGGAGCAGAGCCCGGCCACACAATCCCATTGTTGATACCACTAACAGCACCTGATATTCCAGTTCTGTTATAGTGAGGGTAATACGGTTTGCCCATGAGTCTGATTGTTATTGTTGTGAACCATTCTGAGAATGACTGCGGTTCACAAATGATATATAAAATATTGTATTTCTTCTTAAATAACTGGGCTTCAAAGGACATGACAGCAAAGCATGTAGGATCTTTCTGTTCTATGTGCTCTGTCCAATTTAGCATTTCTTACTGTGCCAACATCCCCCCATCTTCCTGGTTTAGGACACCTGGTGACTGAGAGCTCCAGAACTGAGGCACCAGAACTGAGGCTTCTTCCCACTTGTGTGCCTATTGTTAAAAAGGTGGGAGAAGGTAAGACGTAGAGTCTTGAAGCAGGATCCTTCTTTATGCACACATCTTTCTCTCCTTCCCTTTTCTCTCATCATCCAAAATTGTGTTCTAATTGTGATTCATATTGGAGTACCATTTTCATCTTTGCTATGATGCTCATTGCTTTTATCCACAGATCCTTCCATCTCCATGAAACAGCTTTCTCTCTTTTGCTGGGTTTGCTACTCTATGCATCTCTTTACCCTGGCTTTTGAGACTTGAGGTGCATATTTTTAGGACCCACCTTACTTCTGTGTGTGTAAGTTATTTTTAAGTGTTTTTAATATTGTGTTTTAATTGTTGTAACCCACCCTGGGACCTTAGGGTGAAGAACAGGTAATCAATAACAATAATATTAAGTGTATTCTACTTACTTTATGTTTTGCAAACTTCTGCTGTAGGAGCTGATCTCTTGCTTCCACACATTTCCTCAGTAGTGCCAAGTCTTTATTGGGAAAGAACTGGAGAAAGAAACAACCATAATGACAACTCCTTTCCTGTCTGCAGAAAATAATCCCCTCTCCAGAACTCCTGTGTTAATCCCTGCCACTAAGGTTTATGAAGCAAACAGATCTGTTCCGTGTAATGTAGACTGTGATCTGACTAGATGTTTCTGGCATCCTGCACATGCCTCAAAATCCTTGTATAACTTAGTATGATTTCTCTTCCAGTAAAACCTTATGGGTCTCTATTCTGACTTTCTATACGCTGCAATGATTGACAAGATGTGCATGCACATGGAAGTACAGAATATCTGCATCAAATATATCCCATTGAAACAAGTAACTATGGATTTTGCCCAGTCAAAGAACACATTCTGTTCAATGAACACAAAGTGATTTCCCCCCTCCCTCACATAGAATTCTAGGTCAGCTGATCTATTTGCTATTGCCCACTTGAATAACTGGCTATATCTATCTATCTATCTATCTATCTATCTATCTATCTATCTATCTATCTATATCTATCTATCTATCTATCTATCCATCTATCTATCTATCTATCTATCTATCATCTATCTATCTATCATCTATCTATCCTAAAAGAGTACCTAGCCCTCTCTCCTCACCTCTCTTAATGAAGAATAATAATAATTTTAAATAATAATAATAATTTATTATTTATACCCCGCCCATCTGGCCTGAGTTTCCCCAGCCACTCTGGGCGGCTCCCAATCAGTGTTAAAACAGTACAGCGTTACATATTAAAAACTTCCCTGAACAGGGCTGCCTTAAGATGTCTTCTGAATATCAGGTAATTATTTATCTCTTTGACATCTAATGGGAGGGCGTTCCACAGGGCGGGTGCCACTACCGAGAAGGCCCTCTGTCTGGTTCCCTGTAGCCTCACTTCTCGCAATGAGGGAACCGCCAGAAGGCCCTCGGCCGCTGGATCTCAGTGTCCGGGCTGAATGATGGGGGTGGAGACGCTCCTTCAGGTATACAGAATGGCAAATCAGGTGAATATGTGTTATTTGGTTGCTAGCCCTTCCCACCAGCTCTCACCTGAAGCCATGGGAAGATATCCAACGTGCTCTCCTTGGCTACAGTATCAATAATGCCTTGGCTATATTGGAGCATGGACTCAAACTCAGGGTCTCCACGCTGGTAGGATGAGTTAAAGCAGATGGTGCACACCACATTAGTAACAGCACGTGCCAGTTCAGGTGCCATGTCCAGGGGCGAATCCTGTTTAGCACTCAGAAGTTCACACAAAGTAGCTGCTTCTTGACAGACTAAAAGAAGAGATGCATGAAGGGATGTTAAAACCTTTAGGAGCTAGAAGAAAGTGGTTATGAATAAAGATGAAAGGATGAAACTGAGGGACACTGGCAACCCAGATTTGGAGATGGAGGCAACTTTGAAATAGACAGGGTAATCCAGCAGATAAGAATGCTGGTTCCACATTGGGAGACAAGGGTTCAAAGCCATTTCCTCCACAAACTTGCTAATGGCTTTGTCAGGAGGTCATTATCTTTCTGAAGTGACTATACTACTTCCCATATTAAGAATCCTTGCTGTCTGGGTAGCTATTCTATTGTTCCTGACATGCGCAGTATAATTTGAGGTCTTGTCTATTCTTGTTGTTTTTTTTTTAACAGAAAGAGACTGATAAAGAGTATTTCTTTGGCCACACTGCAAGTAAGTTCTGACCACTACCACTAAGTGACAGTAAAGGACAAAACAAGACGATGCCCTGTACTAAGAATTTTGTACAGTCTCCTTCCTGCTCCCCTTTCCTCCCATATGATACTTCCAATCTGATGCAGGCTGAGAAAATTAACTCCTATATGCATAGAAACAATTAGAATCATAGCTGCTCTTCCTGCAAAGAGTTTTCTTCTTATTTGACCTCAAAGATTGGCTGCAATATATTAGGGGGTCATAGGGGCATGCCTAGAAGGGATATGATCCAGTACCAGTACATTATATCTAATTTTCTTTGTTCCAGTGATCATGTGTTTCCTATAGTTATTCAACTGGGACATCCTGCTTCATATATTATTTTTTGTTGCTCTTTGAGATTATTTGTATTCTGTTAGACCTTTTCACATTATATAATACAGTTTTTGTTTTGTTTTTTAAAAAACCATTACACTACAAATCCATGATTCACCTGAACCCCAGTAGTCTGTGTGATGAGAAGAATATATAATACTGTACAAAGAAAATATTTGTAAGGAAATCTGATTGCTACTCCTAAAGTTGCAGGTGCCTAATGCATGCCTGAAATTATTCAAAGTGTAGTTCTAGAAAGATAATGCTCCCTCCCCAAAAGAGCACGGTTGCTCCAGCATAAACCAGCATGTGGCTATAAGATGGAATTCTGCCTTTGAAAGGTTTAGGCAGCCAAACACAACTGCACCCAAACACTGTACCAATGGTTGGAAACAGACTTAACATTCAGAGCAAGTATAGAAGTATAGAACTGGGAATGGGTGCACACTTCCTCTAGTTCTTTTCCCCCCTGCACCTGCACTCCTGAATGGACACACATAATTTAATTTGGTTGCCACCCCTCTGTGCCCCCCCCAATGTTTCAGGTGGACTTTCACATTGCTTTATTTTTCAGGTACTTGAATTTATCTGCTTTAAAAATTGTTTGAAACTCTTTTTAAAAAACATTTTTGCATATAACTATCATTTTTCTATTTCAATATCTGTTCTGAGAAGGCAGGTAAGGAGGTAATTTAAAGAGTGATGCAAGCACCAGCTGATCAGTGAGTGATGGCATAAATCCAGTTTCAGCTGCAACCTGGAAAAACAGATTCCTCCCTAAGCTCAACCTGGGGTTTGTGGTGTGTGCCTAAATTCTGGTGATGTGTATATATGCACTCTGGCTGGAGGAGAATGAACACTGCTCTGAAAACAAATGCTTAAAGTGTTATTCAGCCAAAGAGGAGAAAATTACCCTAATTTTGGCCACAAGAGTCATCACTAGGATCTTCTCTCCTCAGCTCCCTTCTTGGAATTCTCTTACAGCAATCCCAACATTTCCTTTGTTTACTTACTGATTTTCTCCAGGGCCAGAGAACCCTTTCCAAACATGGAGAGTGCAGAATGTGCCAGCTTGCGCTGAACTTTCCAGACCGGGCTGTAATTGGCAAATGCGATGTCTTTCCCGTTTCGAGTCAGCAAGTCTGTTGTCACCTTGAATCAACGAAGAAGAAAACTTAACAGCATTGTAGTTTTATTTTACTTGGAAGGAGGAAAAACACAAACAACTATTTTCATCAGATTCATTCTTCTGCATTTGATTAAAATTTACTTTTTAAAGCCACTTCAGACCGAAAAGTTATTCACAATATCACTGATACAGGTTTGTTATTCCCTAATTATTATGGCTTAAAATGGGCAAATATATGCAAACCAGTTTTGTATGTTAAAAGCCTATTTTGCCCCAGAATTGTTCTCTTTTTACAGAAAAGAGGATGTCCCTTGATCCTGGAATTAAAATACGTTTTGACTGCAGTCCTGCACTCGGCTGTAGGTAAGCTCTAGTGAATGTAATGGAACTTACTTCTGAATACAGTGGTGCCTCGGTTTACGAACTTAATCTGTTCCAGAAGTCCGTTCTGGAACCAAAACCATTCTTAAACCGAGGCGCACTTTCCCTAATGAGGCCTCCCGCCGCCAGTGCCCTTCCACCATTTGGCTTCCGTTCGTAGACTGAGGTAGAGTTCGCAAACCAGGACACTACTTCCAGTTTTGTGGAGTTCTTATACTGAATAGTTTGTAAACAGGGCTGTTCTTAAACCAAGTTACCACTGTAGACATAATACTGCAACATTAGTGCCTTTTCATCTGTACATTAGGGAACCTGCATTCATGCTGAAGAGGTATGAGGGTGTAATTTAAGAGGTGCAGCAATTCATTTATTTATTAAAATTATTTTATTGAATTGTTTAAAAATGCTACTATAACAAGAAAACAAAGAATCAAACACTTTCTGGTTTATATTTCTGATTCTTTGTTTTCTTTATTTTTGTTATGACTGCACTTTTTTTTTTAGCAAAACAGAAGGTGCAGCAATTTATTTGGGTCATAAAATTCTTTGAAAGGTTATTAAAAGTTGCATATTACTCAGAGGCCAAGACTAATAATTCCTAAAGCACCTCAGGAACCATTCCAGCACTGCAGATCTTACAATCAGCCTTGTTTTATGGCATAGTCAAGTAGTTTTGCTGTTGGATTTTGTATATATATATATATATCCCTCCTCAAAGTCAACATCCTAGGAGAAGAACCTAAATGATTCTTTGACATCAGAAAGGTAGGAAAACAAAATATGTGAACATGCCACTTTCTCTTAAGGCCACAAAGTATACTTGAGTAAAGAAAGGCGGAAGTACAGTGGTACCTCGGGTTACATACACTTCAGGTTACATACACTTAGTACCTTGGGTTAAGAACTTTGCTTCAGGATGAGAACAGAAATCGTGTTCTGGTGGCACAATGGCAGCAGGAGGCCCCATTAGCTAAAGTGGTGCTTCAGGTTAAGAACAGTTTCAGGTTAAGAATGGACCTCCGGAACGAATTAAGTACTTAACCCGAGGTACCACTGTACTAGGGACGCGGGTGGCGCTGTGGGTAAAAGCCTCAGTGCCTAGGACTTGCCGATCGAAAGGTCGGCGGTTCGAATCCCCGTGGCGGGGTGCACTCCCGCTGCTCGGTCCCAGCGCCTGCCAACCTAGCAGTTCGAAAGCACCCCCGGGTGCAAGTAGATAAATAGGGACCGCTTACTGGCGGGAAGGTAAACGGCGTTTCCGTGTGCTGCGCTGGCTCGCCAGATGCGGCTTTGTCACGCTGGCCACGTGACCCGGAAGTGTCTCCGGACAGCGCTGGCCCCCGGCCTATAGAGTGAGATGGGCGCACAACCCTAGAGTCTGTCAAGACTGGCCCGTACGGGCAGGGGTACCTTTACCTTTACCTTTACCACTGTACTACCTAGAACTCAGCAAACATTAATTTATTATACTAAAGCAGGGGTCTGCAACCTTTAAGACAAAAAGAGCCACTTGGACCCGTTTCCAAAGAAAAAAAAAAGAGCCACAAAACTTGTCATTATAAAAATAACTTTTTTGTCACTTTATTATTTCTTTGTTTGACCCCTCAGAATTACTCCTCCTTATAGAAATAAACGTTAAATTAACAAGTTACCTTTTGTGTGTGTGTGTGTTCTTCACTCCCCTTCAAAACAGTGACCAGCGTACATGCCCCCTTTCAATGTAGCGGGCGGGCGGGCGGGCGGGAAGGTGACGTCGGGATGGTGCATGACTAACGCACGCACCGCCCCCATGCGATGTCACAGCCAGTACAGCGCCCGCCACAGTGGGGAGTGTCGGGGCGCACAATGCGCCTCCTCCCCTCAGTAGTATCCGCCCCGGAGCCGCGGCAAAGGTGTAAAAGAGCCACATGCGGCTCCGGAGCCGCGGGTTGCAGACCCCTGTACTAAAGGAACCACATAGCTTGCGATCCACATCTATTTATTTTAAACTGAATGAAAATTTACTGTGTAATGTCTATAATGCACATAGATCATAAGCACTTAGTCATGCTAAGGCTAATGTTTCAATGAAAAATAAGTATAATCTAAAAGTAAGATGCATGAAAGCACTTGCCTCTTCACCTCTTCTCCCTGAAAGTTCAGAAAAGTATAGGACAGGAAAGGGTTATAATCAATCAGAAACTTAACTCCTCTGAAGAAAACTGCCTATCAGAATTTGCCTCTTCCTGGCCATGCTGCTGCTCTCCAGGTAGTTTTTCACTCTCTTTGTATTGGGTTACAAAGACAGGTTCATAGGAGCAGCAAGGCAACAGCTCAGTGGTGAAACACATGCTTTTTATGCAGAAGGTGCCAGTTTCAGTCCTTGACAGCTCCATTAGAAGGACCTTAGGTACTGTACTGGCAAGAAATCTGCCAAAGCCCTTCAGTGCTGCTGCAAATCAGAGTAGATAATACTGTACTAAAGGTATCAATAAACTTATTCAATAAACCAGTTCAGAAATTTATAACCTGCAGTTAGCAAGCCAAGTAGTAACTCTTCCTTAGGAACAAAATGGGTGATGCTTTCGTTCAAGGAGCACAGAAGCCCACTTGTATCATGCTCTGAGGAGCAAATGCATGTTCATAGAATTATAAGAGTTTTCGCTGAGGGCAAAATGCAATGTGATAGAGCAAGCCATGACTGCTCACCTCATTTCCCATGCACAATCACTCATGTAAATTTCAGGTATATTTCTTCTAGCCTAGCTCAATCCTGGTACCCTGTTCTGGGCTGGGGATAATGTTTCTGGGATGACTGAACACAGAGGAGAGGTTAGAGGATTCAGTGCTCATCGCCTGTATGTCCCTTTTCATGTTAAAACCACCCTGTTTTCTGCTGCAGACGTCAGGTCATAACTTAACAATATACAGTGGTACCTCCGGTTACGAACTTAAAAAAACATACAGTGGACATTCGGGTTGCAAACGTGATCCGTGCAGCATGCACATTCACAACCTGCAGCATTCGCAACCTGCAGTGGCGCATCTGCACATGCATGGGTTGCGATTCGGCGTTTCTGCGCATGCACAAAGTGCAATTTAGTGCTTTTGCACATGCATGACCGTCGAAACCCAGAAGTTACCCGTTCCGGTACTTCCGGGTTTTGGCAGTCCCTAACCCAAAAAAACGCAACCTGGAGCGTCTGTAACCCGAGGTATGACTGTACTCTGTTGTTTCATCACCTCTACCCACCAGATTTCATGGCTTAGAAATAAGGAAGACACTTGTAGCTTGCTTACCTTTTGAGGTCTGCCGCCAAAGATCTTCCCTTTCTTAAGCAGCACCTCTTTGGCATGGGTATAGTCGTGGACCACGACTACATAACTGGAGCCCATGTACAAGGAGTAGAGGCTGCCATACTTCTGCTGCAATCTGTGGAAAAAGAGATGGTACTGGGTATGTCCAATAAAATAAAAGAGGCTTCCGATGACTGGCAGGGATGGCAGGCATCTGGGGTAGTTTGCCTTGGGCTCCAGTTTCCCTTTTGCCATCCTCCAGAAGGATAGAAGAGCCAGCCCCAAGAGTAAGGCAGCCAGTAGAACAGTCATTGCCCCAGGTGGTTTGCTGCTTGGTCAGCAATCAAAGAACAAGAAGACAAAGGGAAGCAATATCCCTGCAACAGCCAAGTTACGGCTCTTATAACGGTTTGTAGTCACATGCTTTTACCTTGGGGGTGTGCCAGGCCTTGCTGGACAATCAATGGGAGATAGCAGTAATCTGAAGCACGAAGGCTAGCCTTGCCTCCTGCCAAAAAAAGAGAAAAGCAGTAACAAAGTGCAAAACTCTTTAGCGGATCTGAGCCAAATATACAATCAAAGATATGCAGTGGGAAATGCAGAAGTAAGGGTTATTTGGTTTAATTAAAATGTATAATCTACTTTCCCATTCTAAAAGCAGTCCTCAATATCCCCATAATACATTCCAATATGGGGTAGCCATATCCTCCTCCAATTTGTTCATGAAAGACACAAATCTAAGCTGTCAAACTGGAAGTTCTAAACTGGGGTGTCTAAGGTTTCTTAATGCAAAGCAGAATTTATTAATTATCTCTCTATTGGCTGATACGTTTATGCTCACAGCTTACTTTAAAAACAACATAAAGGGCATTAAAAGGTAGCAGATCTAAAAATGCAGCATAAAAATAATTCAATAGGACCAGTTCAAGAAAGGACAGAGACTGGGAAAATAAAATTACCTGCTGTGGTGAAGGTATCAGAGTGGGACAGCATTCCAAGGCTGTGTGCCACCACTGAAAAGGCCCTTTCATTATGACAGGCTAGTCACGGCAATTACTAAGGCCAGAATCCAAATGTTTCACTAGTGCAAGGAGTTTTAGCTGTGTGATAGAACTTCCATACACTCTCATTTCTGCTTGTGGCTCCTGGGGATTTTAGGGGGGGTGTCATGGAAAGAAGAAAAGGTGGGAAGGTTCCACCGTGCAGATACAGTGGTACCTCGGGTTAAGAACTTAATTCTTTCTGGAGGTCTGTTCTTAACCTGAAATTGTTCTTAACCTGAAGCACCACTTTAGCTAATGGGGCCTCCCACTGCTGCCATACCGATGTAGCTCGATTTCTGTTCTCATCGTGAAGCAAAGTTCTTAACCCGAGGTACTATTTCTGGGTTAGCAGAGTCTGTAACCTGAAGCGTCTGTAACCTGAGGTACCACTGTAATGTTAGTTGCTGAAATTGCACTTCCAAGCTTGTGTCACAGGAGAGCTCAATGAATTGTTTTGGCAACTCATATCTTGTGGCACCTTAAATACTAACACATTTTAAATAATGGTATAAGCTTTCAAGCACTTTACTTCATTGGATCATCTGATGAAGTGGACAATCGTCCATGAAAGCTTATGCCATAATAAATTTGTGAGTCTTTAAGATGGCACAAAATATCTTCCCCTCGAGACCAGCTTTCTATGACATCCCCATCTCCAGGTGTCAGGGTCCATTTTGACAGTTGTGAACACTGCCATCCCTTGGGGGTCACTATTCTTGATACTTCTCAAGGTGACAGCTGAGGGACGCTGCCTTCTGAAGTAATGACAAGATCAAAGCTGAATGTTCTGAGACCCCAGATAAGTTATGCAGTTGGATACTGCTATGGCTAAGGCCGGTACTGTCATTTCCCCATATCCATTCTGCCTAATTTCCATTGCAACCTTGGAACAGTCTTAGCTGAATTTGCTTAGGCAGATAAATACAGTGGTACCTTGGGTTACATACGCTTCAGGTTACAGACTCTGCTAACCCAGAAATAGTGCTTCAGGTTAAGAACTTTGCTTCAGGATGAGAACAGAAATCGTGCAGTGGTGGTGCGGCAGCAGTGGGAGGCCCAATTAGCTAAAGTGGTGCTTCAGGTTAAGAACAGTTTCAGGTTAAGAACGGACCTCTGGAACGAATTAAGTACTTAACCCGAGGTACCACTGTATGTAGCATTTTCATGTGTATTGTTTATTGTAGATACCTATTTCTCCCATTTAGGCTTCTTAAGTTGGCCAAAATAGCAAATGGAAGCTTGCATGAAATTGAGGATGCAGAGTAACAGTAACAGTTGGTGAGGTGGGGCAGCGTTGCTCACCAGGCTTCCCAACCCTGAGTATCACTCCCAGTTACCAGGAGGGGGAAGGATGCAGTGGCAGGGAGCTTGGTGCAGTGTGAGCATAGTGGCAGGAACATCAGATTGGTTCTGCCACTGCACTTGCCACTGCTCTTGCACTAAGCTCCCCACAGGCAGGGATGCTTGATGTTGGGAAGACAGGTGAGCGGTCCTGCTTCTCCTGCAAGGAGAAAACTAGCCCAGCAGGGAGATTACTGGCACAGAACATTTATCCAGGATGTGTTCATTTTCTCCTTACAGGGAGTTTTTATATGCAGGCAAAGACAAAAGTGTTGTTTCCTACCATGAAGTGCTGGCTGCAGCCCATTCTTTCACCTCAGTGTTCTACCACCTCCTTTCACTGCAGGTTTAGCTGACAACTATTAATATTTTCACGCAGTGTCATGTCTGCACTTGGCATTTTACAAATAATGAACAGAAAGGTCCCTGTCCCAAGGAGCTTAAAACAGTGGTTCTTGAAGGGTGTGGCACACCACACTGGTGTGATTGTGAGTGCCTCTCTGGTGTTTCTGCTTTGTCGTTTTTAATTTGATTAAACATTTGTATTTTATTGGCTGGGATTGTGATTCTGTTTTCTGTTCTCATTTATATCTGAGTATCTTGGTTGAGGAGGGGTGTGTGCGCGCGTGCGCAAATAAATCACTTTGTGTGAAGAAGCGGTGATCCTGAGAAATAAATAATAATGGGGAAGGGCATGTCCCCATTACTTCTTAATGTCTGACTGTGTGGGTCTGACAGACTGAGAACACAACATCCCTAAGATCGTGGTCTGGACCCTCTGGGAGAGCGGTTTCGCCGTCTTGCCTTTTCACCTGTTTTGCCCTTTCTCGCTCGCCGTCGTTGCATCCTTCACGTGAGTGACGGGCTTGTTCGGGCGGGTAACATTACCAAGATGGCGGCACCCTCAGCTGCGAGCGCCGTGGACGTTCAGACTCGATTCGGCCACTCGGTGAAGGGTCTGTTGACCGAGAAGGTGACCAGCTGCGGCACGGATGTCATCGCCCTCACCAAACAGGTGTTGAAGGGTTCGCGGAGCGCCGAGGTGAGAGAGACTACGAGGCCCAGAAAGCACTGCGCTGGGGCAAAACTTTAGACCGGCAGCAGGGGAGCGCAATGCATGGTGGGATTTGTATTCTCGTTGGGATGCCGGCTGCTTTGGAACTGCTCCAGCTTCCTATCGCTTTAAGGGGTGTGTGGTGCCCTAGGCATGGGGGGAGGGGGGTTGGACAGCAGCGGAGTAGTGCTTTCCATTGTACTCCTTGTTCTGGTTTTAAAAATGGGTATCGAAACGGGGATTTAAAATCAAAAGTTCTCAGCACACTTGCTGTTTCCACCTCCTTTTAAAAGCCGTAGTAGTTCTCTCCCACTAGCTGCAATCATAAAATACTGTGCTCTGCCCCGTTCGGGCTGACAGATGATTGGCAATCGAATCCTGGTCTGCCTTTCTGCAGAGAAGCCTGCAGGATTGGACCAGCATCATCTTCTCACAGTATCTTGCCAGATGCCTGTGGGAAGTCCCCAAGCTAGACATGAGAACAACAGCCTTCTGCCCACCTGTGATTCCCAGCAACTGACAGTCTCCAAGTTGAGAAAGGGGTGGGGGTAGGGATTTGATACAAGTTGCTTGCATTTATTAAAGAACATAAGTGATGATGCTTTTGAAAAGGACAAAAGCCCTGTTGTTTTTGCCTGGGAGGGAGGATTTTGACTTTTTAACAGTCAAAATTTGTAAAAGAAATTCCCTATTTTGAGGTATTACATTCAAGTGGCTGAACACACCTGCAAGATATGTTGGCCTTAAAAGCAAGAAGTTGTCAAATACAGAAGTATATGGGGGGTGTTTGGAAGTACTTTTTATTTATTTTTTGCTCCCATACAGAAAACATTAAAATTCTTCCACTCATGAGAATAAGGTATAATAGAGGTTAGCCTAGTGGACGAGGCCCAGACTCACCAGCCCTACTGAAGAGGCTCCTCATGAGGCCAGAGGAACATTGCCTGGCTATTGTTTTATTGATTTAATATGCTGTAAACCGCTTTGAGATTTTTATTAAAAATATAAAGATAAATAAATAAATACCCTTGCAGAGAACTCCTGGCAGAATGCAAGGAGGCAGGTGCAGGACTCAGAGCAAATCTGTTGCCCCTCTCAAAGTGCCACTTGAGGCAACAGCCTCAGAGAGGCTCATGGGGGGGGGCTGCATGGCATTACCTATTTTCTGGGACTCCCTGGGTTAAAACTCTGGGAGATGATTTATAACGAGGTAAAGAGAATATTTAAGGAGGCTCTACCCAAAAGACCAGAAGATTTTCTTTTAGGGGTAACTGGGACAGATGTACCCCCCCCAAAAAAATCTTGTATGTGAGCAAGAATACTATAAGTACACAAAAAATTGTGAGATGAGGCAGTACCTACTAAAGAGGATTGGCAGTTGAAGCTGATGGAATATGCTGAATTAGCAAATTTAACTAGTAAAATTACAGAGCAAGATGAGACTTTTTTCAAGGAGGATTGGAAAATGTTTGTAGATTATTATTTTTTTATTGTAAACATGTTAAAACGCAAGCAGGATTTGACTAAGAACAGCAGAAAATGTATACTGCGAATACGGTGGAGGAGAGAAGGCATAGAATAATTATAATATGCAGCAGTACTAGGAAATTTGAGGAAACCATGGAAGGGTAGAGGAGAAGTCAGACACTAACGGAATGCCGATTGGAAAATGCTGTACAATTTGTTTTATTTTCTTTTGGAAAACATATAAATAAGAATTAGTCAGTTTATTGTGTTTTAGCAGACAGCCATTATACACATGAAAATGATAACAAAATATTAATAATAGAGATTTACATTTCTGCTCCTTAACCTTTAAAGGATAAATCATTTCCTATAACCCCTTTAAGTTTAATAGCATGGATTTGTAGAGCCTTAGCAAGAAATTCAGATATTCTGAAAGGATATATACTTCTCTACAAGAGACAGCAAAAAACAAGTCTTTGCTGGGGGTGACCTTCCCTTAGCAATGGGTGAATAGTTGTTTCTAAAGGGCATTCAAGGAGCGCATGAGTTGTATCTTCTATTGACACAGAGTTGCAACCACAAACTTTGTCCTTCTTAGGAATTCCTTTGTGCCAGCTAATCCAGTCCTCTAGTAGAAGGACATTTAACCTTGCTTGTGTAAAGGCTACCCTCATTTTAATGTTTGGTAGGTCTGCCAGATATCTTAGAAGGGATAAGTTCAGTGGAATAAAGGAAGCATACAAATTATTCGATTGTCAAGTCTTGATTTCAGCTGTTTGTGATTGCATCTCAATGTCCCCAAGCCTTTGGAGCAGGGGTCAGCAAACTTTTTCAGCGGGGGGGGGGGTCCCTCAGACCTTGTCAGCGGCCGGACTATGTTTTGAAGAAGAAGAAATGAACGAATTCCTATGCCCCACAAATAACCCAGAGATGCATTTTAAATAAAAGGACACATTCTACTCATGTAAAAGCATGCTGATTCCCGGACCGTCCGTGGGCCAGATTTAGAAGGTGATTGGGCCAGATCTGGCCCCCAGGCCTTAGTTTGCCTACCCATGCTTTGGAGTATTAATTCTTTAGCTTACTTGAAACCTTGTGTCAAAAGAAAAGAGAATTCCAAACTCACGGCAGCCGACTGCATGTTTCCATGAGTCTCAAATAATATATTTTTTTAACCCTCTGTTTGTTAAGCCTGCAATAATTCTTACATTTAGATTGCTTAAATGCTATTGAAATAGTAAGCTATGAGCAGAATTGGCACCTTTGAGGACCAGTGGAATGCTACATCACTGGCACCTAAGAACAGGAAACTTGTGTATCTTACTGTGGCTTCCATGTCTTTCAGTTCTTAGGACAAGCTGCCAGAAACATGGTGATGCAAGAGGATGCCATTCTGCACTCAGAAGATGTAAGAAATGCTTGAGCTACAAAAGTGGGGACTTTGTCAGATAACTAGTTCTTCTCTGTGATCTGCAAGACATGGGAAAAAGAGGAGGTGACTCGTAAAGTGCAGGGTTAGGAATTGAAAGGTGTTTGTTTCCCCACCATTCCTAACATGATCTGGACTTCACCCCAGAAGCACTATAGGCTACCTGCCTTTATCATTTTTAAATAGTCTACATTAGTGTTTATGTATTTATCAGAATAAGGGACGCGGGTGGCGCTGTGGGTAAAACCTCAGCACCTAGGACTTGCCGATCGCATGGTCGGCGGTTCGAATCCCCGTGGTGGGGTGCGCTCCCGTCGTTCGGTCCCAGCGCCTGCCAACCTAGCAGTTCGAAAGCACCCCCCTCAGCACCAGGTGCAAGTAGATAAATAGGGACCGCTTACTAGCGGGAAGGTAAACGGCGTTTCCGTGTGTGGCTCTGGCTCGCCAGAGCAGCTTCGTCATGCTGGCCACGTGACCCGGAAGTGTCTGCGGACAGTGCTGGCTCCTGGCCTATAGAGTGAGATGAGTGCACAACCCTAGAGTCTGTCAAGACCGGCCCGTACGGGCAGGGGTACCTTTACCTTTACCTATTTATCAGAATAGCCTTGACATTAGTATTAATGGTTAGATTTAAAGAGAATTAAACAGTCATTGGCTTGTTATCTATACCAAGAACATTACCAGCTTTGAGCTAGACAAAAAAAAATCATTCATCTCTAGTTGTTCATCTTTGAAATATGGGACTGTGGACATTGCTACATACGGTTGGCTTATATATCTGTGCATCCCCGCCCCAATAATTCCCATCTTGTGCCTTCATGATTTATGTTGGCGTTTCAGTAAGTAAGTGTATGGGGGGGGGCTCATTTAATTTCACTGCATACAGGTGGTGTAGTGACAATAAAGGTTTATTATTTATTATTTATTTTATTAATTCTTGAGCAGTATTGGCAGTCTACAGACTTCTAGGTGAGCCAGTCTATGTGGCAAGGGAACTTGCTCAGCTTCTGTGGCTAAGAGGGGAACTCTGCTTCCTATGAAACTTAAACAAAACTAGAAAATGCAATTACATTTTCCTATAATTTATACAGTTGCTGGTGATGAACTTTAGGCCATGGCTGGTGGCAGATGGTGTGGTTGGTTACAGATGGTATGTGAGCTATATGTTGTCCAGCCCAGGCCTGGTAGATTTTTATTTTTTATTTTAATCAAGCTTGCCAATTAGGAATCTTGCTTGTTGCTCTCAGGATTAGAATTCCAAAATTACTGAATTGAATCTGAAATCCAGTATTAAATAAAATTAAATGGGAAGCTCCCAAATGAGTTCTAGGAGGGTGTGTCATGATCAGAACTGAAAAATTTAGGGAGAATGTATGAAGTGGCTAGGTATAGAGCTGGAAAAATAAAATTGTTAAATAAAGTTAATTTCAAAAGCTTTCAGATCATTCAGAACAACAGATACTCAAGGCTAGGAGAGTGTAACACAAAATGCCATGAGTAATGATTGATAATCATAGTGAGGGGAAATCTACCCTATTTAATATTTTCTCCTTTGCAGAGTTTAAGGAAAATGGCCATTATAACTACTCATCTGCAGTACCAGTAAGTATATGCATTGTGTACTCTTTATTTGATTGACCAGGACTATTAAAATCTCATCCCCTCTAATGTTTCCAGTGTCCAGGCTGTGATGTAACCAAAACTTCACTTACCAAACACAAAAGTGACATTTCAGCAAGCTTGGGGGAACTCCATGATTTGCAGAAGTAGAAAAACATTTTTTGGGGGGGACCCTAAGGAGGAAATCTTCCCAAACATGCTTATTGTCCAATGAATGCTGTCTGACTGTTGGGGATTGTAGAATGGAACAAAAAATGCTGGAATCTTGAACAGCTACACTCCACACTGCATTATTTTGTTACTCTTGTCCTCTACTACCAGCATTCCAAGATAGCTTCTGTTATTAACTACTAAGATAAAATAGCTAAATTGACTCTTAGGTTGTTTTACCTTACACATCTCTGAGAAGCATCTAATGGCCATCATAAAAGGAATCTTCAGAAGTAGGATTTATCTTTTTGCAGCTTTACTTCACAAGCTTCTTTGCAACACTGGTAGCAATTTCAGGATGTCAGTTCAGTTCTATATATCATGGAAGTGAAGTCAATCTGATACTCGTTCATTAAGTTAGCCTCCTGAAATCAGGCCGCCTTTCATCAGTTCAGAATTCAGTTCAACCTGTTTGTGTTCTTAAGCACCTTGCAGCCAGTTTCCTTATAATTTATTTTGTATTGACATCTTTTTTTTCTAGGCAAGAAGCTATTCAGAAAAAGTAAGTTTGCTCTGCTTTATTTGAGTGGCTTTTACACTCCCCCTTGTTGCTACTTTTGCTTTTTGTTCTGTTCATGTTATTTTGAATGTAAACCAAATAGGTTAGGACTATATCACCTCTGTACAAAACTGTACAAAGGTGGCACACTGCTGTTGCCAAATAAATGTTAAATAATAGTGATATTGCTTGATTTTTAAAGTGTAACATAGTAAAATCAGGTAAAATGTGTGATGAAATAAATAAATAACCCAGAGCCTTTAATTTATGAACTGCTTCTTATGAAGCATCTTGAAGCAGTTTACATATATAAAAATGTTTGATATATAAAAATGGTTTTAAAAAGGTGAGTGGACCAAGAAGGCTATACTCTTTACTGTTTTGGCTTTTAACATCATGGTTTTTGTTTCCTGCTCTATGGACCTCCATTTGTGAGAGTAAGGCTTACTACTGGTGAGCAGTCCCTGTTTGACACATTGGGACTTATTTCCAAGTAAACACCCACAGGATTGCACTTCAAGGGTTCTTCTGCTAGGTGACATCCTGATCGCTCAAGCTCTGATTCATTCTGCCAATGAGCCTCATGCTTATGGCTTTCGTTTAAATTGTCCCCATTTACACCTCACTTCTTCCTCGTCCTCATTTCTCAGTCAGAAAGATGTTCAGTCCAATCCTAGACATGTTTAGTTGGAAGTAAGTCAGGACTCCCTCCAAGATAAGTATCTAGAATGTTGGATCTTTAGCTACTTGGTTGTTGGTGCAATTGAATTGAGTCCTGGGTGTAAAGTGGTTTTGTTAGGTAAAAAGAAACATTATTTCTATTTTTTTAGCTGCTGCAAGAACCTTTTGGGTCAGTCAGTGGGGTATTAAATGTTAACCTTTAAAATGGAAGCATCTGTTCCCTTCTTGTTGAGGTAGGGTGTCCTCTTCTTTCAATCTCTAAAATATATTTTGGGAGGGGTGATTAGTGGACTAAATCAGCAGATACCTCCCCATTTTATCCTGACAACCCTGGTCCATCTTTACATTGCAGAAGCAGCCCAGACTGGCCCATTTACAGTCAATATTTAATATATCCTAATATCCTTGAGTGTCTATTGAAGTCTTCCTTCTCATCTTCAGTGTTGAACAGTCTTCAAATTTGCGCGACCAACTGACTCACCTTCTGAAATGAAGAGAGACTGTTGCACGGTGTTAAAGAGCTGATAGAAACCACTGAGAAAATACATGTCTGAGGATTTATGGAGACCCTTCCTCTATTCCTTCTTCACCAAATGCACTATGGGACTGATCTCATCCCCAAATAATCTGCCGGTTTGTAATGATGCAAAGTGTACATTGCACAGTGTACAAGATTCTGACCTGCAAATGGAGGAAACTCTTGGATTTTTTCCATCGCCAATTTTGCAGTTATAAAAAGCTGGCTATTTTAATGTATCTAATTGCAGACTGCAATCCCATGTGTGCATATTTTTAATGGATTAATTTTTCCAAGGATTTACACTTCTGGAGATCACAAATGAAATATATCTTGTTTTGTTTTAGAGTGCTTTAAAGGATGAAACTCTTCTCTGTTCAGAGCTCAGTCAGATTAATCAGTAGGCTGAAATTTTTCATATTTCAGGGCTGAGGAATACAATCTCATGGTAGTTGGATGAGCACTAGAAAGCTGTTTGAAAAAGCTGCATGCAGGTGGTTCCCTGTGTATGGTTATTGTGTGTAGGTTCAACCATCACTTTGTACTGGCATTTTGCATCCCTGAGTATGAAAATCTATCTAGTTTTACTACCTAAGTAATTAAAGAAAGAGTTAGAGGACTGGAATTTCCCCCCTCCCAACTTGGTCTTTGTTTAGTGGGAGCTGAGTGTGCAGAGATGAAATTTGACAGCTTGTTTAGATTTTCTTTAAAAGACTAAGTTCAGCCAATTTGCAAATAAATCAATCTCTATACATCAATATGTATAGCTGCCAATGGTTTCTAATTTAAGCTGCAATCCTGTGCACATTTATCTGGGAATAGTCCCCACTGAACACATGGAACTTAACTTTTGTATTAATATGCATGGGATTATACTTTAAATTTATTTCCCCTTATTTCTTAATGTAGTTTTAGCTACATGAGTGTGAGCTGTTCTGAAACTACTTGAGTGTGTATATTTCCTTTGCAGAAAGTGTTTGAAAGAGGTCCCTTAAGTCTGTACATCTGCTGTCAGTTTTGGCCTTGGGCTACATTCCTAAGCACTCACTGCTATTACGGCTCTTGATTAAGCAGCCTTGGCTTCATTATGTAATATCCTACAGAACCAGCAATCTATTCAGATATACAGCTGCAGATGTACGTGCAATATCTTATTTATACAGTGCTGTGGCTTGAACCAATTTAAAGCCCATGGGAAACAGAACTGATCTAAAATATGTATTTAAAATATATTTGCATTTCCTTTTTGTTTGTATTTTGTTCAGAGAACGGTACTCATGCTTCATTGACAAATTGCAAAAAACTGAAGGAGCGAAGTATTTTGTACACAAAATCAGGCAATATATGTTACGATTGCTGTACCTCTTGCTCTTTTTGAGCAAGAACCAGTTAAATATATATCTGTGGATAAGAGTGATGCAGTCACTGTATGAGTGCTGTTACTTATTTAGCCAAAATGATGTCACCCACTCAAAAAAGGAAATATCAGCAGGCTTGGGTTTGCAAAATACAACAATTCTTTATATGAAAAACCCTAATGGGGGAATCCTTCCCAAACAACCCAGTGAGGACTGAGCATGCTCAGTGGCTATGGAATGCTGGGATGGACAATGGAAAATGGTGTGAGAAGAGATTGAGTGGCTGGCTGCCATGAAAAGTGAACAGGAACACTCCACATTACAACAATTCATTACAAGTCCCATTTACACTGTTCCAATGCCATTCCATTCTTACACAAAAATGAAATTGTTAAAAACGGGGGGGGGACTGTTTCAAAATTATTGTGATTGTTGTAAGATATATGTATGTATTTAGAAAAATATTTATATACTGCTAAATCATAAAAAATCAAAGCAGTTGACAATAAAACATGTAAACATTTAAAATCAAGCCACCAGCTAACTATTGCATCTGGTAAGTATAATCAGTTTGGGAAGGAGAAGTTCCTGCATATCAATGGATGGTTTAAAATATAGTCAAATCTTGGTTGTTGAATGTCTCGGCTGCCAAACGTTTCAGGAGCCGAACACCAACAACCTGGAAGTGACTGCTTCTGTTTTCGAACGTGCCTTAGAAGCCAAATGCATTTCTCATTTTTTCCTAATTAGATTTGCCAGCCACCATTTGATCCTCGGTTTTTGAATGTTTCGGAAGTCAAATTGACTTCCGGAATGGATTACGTTTGAAAACGGAGGTTCCACTGTATACTCTTTCTTTATTTACTCCGCAAGAGAGCATGTGCAGGAATATTTTTTCCAATGGCTCTCTTGACCTCACTAGTGTGCGGTTTGTAGGCAAGGATGAAAACCAGTGGGTCGCGGATCTGTACAGTTGGCCTTAAACAGAAGACCAGCAAGGAAGTTAGGCTATGTAAGTTAGGTTATGTAAGCTGAGCGTTAGAAACTGCCCTACTCCCAAATTTAATGTGAATTGTCTTGTATTTCCAGAGGAGTAGCCATGTTAGTTCTATGCAGCAAAGGCAACAAAAAGCCTCGCGATGCCTCGCTATCTGCAACTCAGAGTAACACCTAATGATGTGATGAAGTGGAATGAAGCTCTCAAAAGCTTATCCTATAATAATTTTTTTAGTCTGTAACTTTGATACAGTATTTGATATAGGCAAACTATTGGCCCTCATAATCTAAGCCAGCTTCCTTTTTCAAGACTGGTAGCCATGATGACTACAATGCAACAGCTACAGAAGCAGCATGTCCATGAATACCAGCTGTTGGGAGGAAGGCGCCTTCCAGGAGTGGCAGCAGCTCTAGGGTGTCAGGCGGGGGAGATGCTGCCGGTTGAATTTGGCACCTCCAGCATACAAGGCAGATGTTCTGCTTGGAAGCTTCTCAGGGGCATCTCCTTAGCTGCTGTGGGAAACAGGATGCTGGAGCAGATGGACTTTGGGTCTGATCCAGGGCTGGATTTAGGTTTGATGAGGCCCTAAGCTACTGAAGGTAATGGGGCCCTTTATATGTCCAGCTGTCCTTTGTCAACAACGAATTGTTGCTGTTTTTTGTGTTGAATATATGCTATATATGGACCTATTATGGAAATAATAGGTATCTAAAGCCATTTGCACATAACAAATAGGAGCCTACACAACACAAAACACTGTTGCTGTATGTAGGTTTTATTTGTTTTTTATCTTATATTTTGGAAATGTACATCTAGGGTTTTTTTCCCCTTTAAATTTTTTCGGGGCTCCCAAGAGAGTGGGGCCGTAAGCTATACAGTAGCTTGTTTAGCTTATACATAAATCCGGCACTGGGGGGGGGGAGTTCCTAAATTTCCCAGATTCGTGAGTGGCGTGAAAACAGAACGGGGCCGCAGACTGCGAAGCAAAGCCTTCGAAGCCTCTAATTCCAGCGAGGGCTTCTCCCGCGGTCTCTCGTCCTCTTCGGAAGCCACGAGACGACCGTCTGTACGGAGGAATAGCCGCGAGGCGCCGCCTCTTGGCCCTGCGGCCTCTGGAGAAACAAGCCACATCTACTTCCTGTAACACAATCCAATCGCTCCTCCTCCAATCGTGGTCGAAGGAGCTCTGGCTGATCCTCGTTGTTCCGGCGCTTGCGTTGCCCGGGGCTTCGCTGTGGGATCCAGAGCTCGAGGCGTCGCTCTAAGTAAGCTTTGCTGCTGCTTTCTTCTCACGGGGCAGCATGGGGGCTCGTGAGTCAGCGAGGAGGAGACCCGCCTAGAGTCCGTCTTTGGGGTTGAGTTCCCCTTTGGAGAAGGGCTACATTTGGCTCTGGTAATCCGCTGCAAAGCGGAGTGTTACGTCTGCAGCTCCCCCAATAACCCGGGTGAAGTGTGTTTACACGGTGTGCTGACATTTTCCTTTTCTTAACAGTGGCTGCGGAGCGGATATATACAGAAGTCCAGGTGAGGTAGTTTGATGCTGAGATCTTGACGTATCCTTCCTTCACCGTGATCCCAATGGTCTGTTCCACATTAATGCACATTATATACACTTAATCTTGGCCTTATGATATAACATTTATATACACAATTCTTGCCCACTTAGAACGAAGGCTTTCTGTGTCTATTTTTTCTCATTCCTCGCCTCTGATCCATGGCTGCTTATCTCAGCGTTGTCGTCATATATTCTCATTTATCCAGCCTGGCGACTGTGTCCAGTATTACTCAATCAGCCAATCACCTTTTTTCCAACCCCTCATGAAAACAGTGTTTAAAACAGTACAAATTACTATTGAAATGGATTTTGGGTCAAATTTCCTAGATTTTAACACTCTGATTAAATAAGCCCATTCCAGATTATCAAAGGCTTAAAGAGTCTCTAAAGACAGAACAGCCCAATGTACTTTACATTATTTGGAAATAATAAATTAAATTTAACGATTTTCTACTAAAAACAGTCATCATGAATAGAAACGTTTGTAGAGTCTGCTTAGATTATATCCTGGAGCCATCACAGAAGAGGCCTTATCTTTTGTGCCAGTTGACATATGGGATGGGGGGGGCGCTCTTGGTATGGTGTTGATGAGGGTCCTCCCCAAATAGGACATTACACACTGACTGTGGTGGACATTCTTCCTCTGTTGCCACAACTGTTTTGATGCAGACAGCGTTCTCTGCCATCCACCAGGCCCTGGTCCTACTCCAGTGGCAGATGGTCAAAAGTGCTTTTAAATGGAAGCTAAGATTGGCTCCCATCCTACCTACCCTCTTTGTCCCCATGAACCAGAGCATGCCTGGGAAATTTCTTTTCAAAGCTTCTCCTTCTTAATGTCCATGGAGTTTTCATGGCAAAAATACTGGAGTGGGTTGCCAGTTCCTTCTCCAGGTGGATCACATTTAGTCTAAACTCTCGGTTATGACCTGTCCGTCTTGGGTGGCCCTGCATGGCATAGCTCATAGCTTCTTGAAGTTATTCAAGCCCCTTCGCCACGACAAGGCAGTGATCCACGAAGGGGACCTACCCTCTTAAATTACCTCAGATGCCATGCCCTGGCACATAGATCTGTCAAATCAATAGATTTGGTGCCACCCACCATGGGAAAGCACCTAGGATCCCAGCAGGGAAAGTAGTGGCCTGGCTGGGTTGAGCCAGACTTCTGGGGGACCCAGTCAAGCCCATTGGGCCCTCAGCCCAACTGCTGGTGCCAGACATACCTGCCTTCATCACTTGTGTTTCAACCATTCTTTATAAGCTACAAACATGTTGTATATACGGGTAATTTCTGTTTCCCTTTTTAGGATTACTATGGCAAAGAGTTGAAGAAAAAAGAAGACCTAAAAACCAATGCCTGTTGTACTGTAGCAAGGCCTTTGCCCACATTCGCCAGAGAAGCCCTACAATGTGTGCATGAGGAGGTTTCGGCAAAGTACAGTATTGTTTTATTGAGTGAACTTTAATCTCATGAGTTACTGCCCATTGCATTATGGAAAGTGGGGAGGAGATCTAATTTTCCCCTCATCCTTATTTAACCTTTTCCCTCTACGCCATATCAAGTATAAAATCAAACCAAAAGATTAGGGCAGGTCATTTAACTGGCAGATTAAGCAAGTAAAGCTTTTAGTTGATTAATCAGTGAGGGTGAATTTTGATCAGTCAGTGTAAAAGGTAGGCTGAATCTAAACAAAATAATAAAATGAGAATAATATGTGTGATTAGGGAAGAACTTGTAGATCTTGCAGTGCAATCCCATACACTGTTGCTCAGAAATAAATTCTGCTATATTTAGTGCAATTTACTCCCTCGTAAGTGTGTTTAGGGTTGCAGCCTGTACTCATTTATGTAGGAGTAAGCCTCATTGAACTTGATAGCGCTTTTTTGAGCAGACATGCCTGGGATTGTGCTGTTAAATTGCAAGGGTCATAGGCCAACTATTGTTTTTCTATGTCCTTCATTGTATTTGTTTTAATTTGTCTGAATATGTAATAATGTGGTGACTAACCCATGCAGTGATTTAAAAACCAAACTATTCAGCAGTGGCAGACGTGTTCAAGAACAGCAGGTGCCAACACAACAGTTGTATTTATCTGATGAAGTGCTCCTTGGTGAGGATTGGCTCATCTCACTGCTGATCTGGACCACCCACTTGCCTCCATCAAAATGTGTTTCACTTTCGCATTGCTTTATCCTTTGTTCCCTTAGGTATTATGGTTGTGGCCTGGTGATCCCAGAATGCCTAGAAGACTGCTGGATTTTGGATTTGGGCTGTGGGAGTGGAAGAGACTGTTATATGCTCAGTAAGATGGTTGGGGAGAATGGACATGTGACCGGGGTAGACATGACTGAATCCCAGGTAAGAGGTTGTTCTTTGCGTGCTGATTCAAGACTGTCATGTTTACCTTCAGATTGCTAAATGGGGGGCGTAACTGTTGAAACTCCTTGGCATGCAGCTTCCTTCATGACCTACCTTTTTCACACAAGCTCCCATTCTGGCATCTCACCCATGTGCAGCCTCCTCGTTTGCAGTCCTTAACCTAGGTGGTCACCAGCCTTTTTGCACTCCTGGACTCCTTTGCAAACTAGAAAAACTCTCTTAGGCACCACACACACACTACACCTAAGCAAGACAAATACAACCTCTCAAACCTAATTTCAGTGGGGTGGGGAGACCCTTTGGGTGCTAGGAAGGTCTCTGTGGGCACCCAGGAAGGATGCTGGGAAATACTTTTACTACTATATGCAATTTGGAACATGTACAGCAAGTCCAACTGGAATGAAATCATGCATAGACTGATATCACATCTGGGGATGGCAGGAGGATGAAGAGCAAGCTGGTACTCTGGCATAAGGAGAGTAGGTGGGATGGGTTTAATGGCAGAACATATAAGCAAAGGTATATTAAAGCTTCTCTGTGTGTGGTTAGCACTGCTTTATCCTGCACATATACTTCTCTACTGAATTTCTATCTTTTACATCCTTGCTTTCCTTCCATCAGGTGGAAGTGGCGAAGAAGCATATCGATTATCATATGAACAAATTTGGCTACCAGAAGCCCAATGTAAACTTTATCCAGGGCTACATGGAGAAACTGGGTGAAGCAGGCTTGAAGGACGAAAGCTATAACCTTGTAATGTAGGTCCTTTTTCTAGCCCCTTCCTCTGCAAGCAGATAGGCTGGAAACTGGGGGTTATATTTGAGTTTCTGGATTTAGCACTGCATGCCATATTCCACGCTGTGCTGCGATTGAGGCTTTGTGGCTATCAGTAGCACCTATGTGAAGTGTGTTTGCCCTATATGTTGCCATCATTTCAGATGTAGTCTGGAAATATTTCTGTTCACTGAGGCATTTAGAACTTGGAGGGAGGGAGTGTGCGCAGCAGTTTGGAAATGGCTGTTTATATACACAAACTTGGTTTTAGTTGTTTTAACAGTTTTGCAACATTTTTAATAACGACGTGTCATTTATGATGATGCACAGTTGCTCTGGGTTCCTTCAGGTGGAAGGGCAGGAGAACAAATAAATCAAATAAATAAGTTGGCTTTTTCTCTTGTTTAGCTCCAACTGTGTGGTCAATCTGTCCCCTGATAAAAGAGCTGTCCTGCATGAAGCTTATCGAGTGTTAAAGGTAAACACTGGGCTGGTTGCATATGGCATGTTAGGCAAAGTAAGGCCAACAGGGAGGACTCTGAGTGAAAAGGAGAATTTTCTTCTGCACGTAGCTCTGCCCAGGTGTACACTAAAGAAAAGGGGGAAAGTGTAATTGGAGTTGAGTGTTCAAACTCCTGGAATAGGAGAACCTATGCAAATCAGCATCTAGAAAGAAATCCCTGGAAAATCAAAGACTTTAGAGGGAAAAGATATGTCCGGTCTGCATTTGGGTTGTTTCTCCTCAATGTTCTTGAGTTTCCAGCCACTGCTGGGCCCTGTTTATAGAAACAAAGGGAGGAGGAGGATTGAATTTACCTAGTGGGAATGGGTTGCCTCCCCAAGATTAGTTTACATGGTTGAATTGCTTTCCCTTTGAAGACACAACACATCCATAGCAAGCAACCAAACTGGCAGCAAACAGTGGCTCTCTTTTGCCTATCAAACCGTGGAAACAGTAATTATTTGTTTCCTTCTTGTTACCTGCTCTTTCAGGCAGGCGGGGAGATGTATTTCAGTGATGTCTATGCCAACTGTGACCTGCCACAGGAAACCAGGAACCATAAAGTCTTGTGGGGTGAGTGAATTATTCTCTTCTTCCCACACCCAGTTGAAAAACGGTAGCCAGCATTGCATCTTCCTGTCAGGTATACCATTTTAAGATTGCTTCAAATATGTAACCCATTTTTTCCCCCATAGGCCAATGTCTTTCAATACCACACAGGCCTTAGGAGTAGCAGAAATGATCAGAGCTCATTAAAACATTCCAGCTGGGCAGAAGCACTCCATGAGGGTGCAGAGCATGGCTGTGGGTGGGATACAGTCTCATGGGACACAGTCTCCCTAGGGCCTGATAGAGAGGGATGCAGGGCCATGTTCAGTTCCCAAACCTGAAGTTCTCCAGCCCAGCTCTCACTTACGGGATCTTCTGGGTGCCCCCGGCATAGAACCAATGACCAGTTTTATGGATGAGATCCTTGGAGAAGCCTGCTGCCACATGTAAGGTTCTGTGGATTGGGGCAACAATCCTACGCTGATACTACAGAAGGGGTGGGAACCTTCAGTGCGGAGGCCAGTCTTGGCCTGTCAGATTAATTCCCCCCCCCCAAACAACTCATCAGCTGATGGCCCTTGTGGTGTCAGCTGATGGCTGGGTGGATAGGGTTAAATCCTGCATTAATTAGCTGCATGCACCTGTTCCCATGCTATCTGGAAATGATCACTTTTGTCATCCTACCATCTGTAGGTGAGTGCCTAGGGGGAGCCCTGTGGTGGAAGGATCTGTACAAAATTGCTGAGGAAGTTGGATTCTTGCCACCTCGGTTGGTTGCTGCCTCTCGAATAACCCTTGCTAACAAGGAGCTGGAAAATGCCGTGGGTAAGAGTACTATTTTTCACCCTTAGTCAGCCTCCTCGTTCGACTTTCAGCGTCATTTCAGTCTAGATTGCCCCTCCTCCTTGCCCTTTTTTTTTGGCAAATAAAAGCTATTGGGAGATCAGATTGTGGCTCTCCTGCTATACATGTCATTTGGCCCTAAGTCAGGGTTAATTAATTTTAGATGCGTGAGATTTAGGGGCATGTTCCTGATGCACACCTTGGTTGCCTGGTTAAATGGTTAGCGGTATTCCTATCTTTTCTTTACCTGCATACATAGCTTCGAGGAAAGTGGGACAAGGAATAAAATTTGCTAACCTGAGAATTCTTGCTTGCAAAAATATTTTGTGAATATTTTGGTCTCTGAATCCACAGGCATGTACATCTTTGGAGGAGGGAGGATTCCAGGTTCATAAAACACAGCTAGTATTGTAGTTGACGAGAGACCCTGAAAATTACCTACCTGGCTTCCCCTCCCCAGGTGTCTGGTAGCCCACATCTGAGGTGGGAATTGTACTGTGACATTGCTCAGGAGTGACACAAGCCCCTCCACTTTGATTATAGGTGACTTCCAGTTTGTTTCTGCTACTTTTCGCCTCTTCAAGATCCCCAAGGATGGGTCAGCTCAGTGGTGTGAAGCGATTTACAAAGGAGGAATCCCTGGGCATGAGAAGGAACTAGAGCTTGACATTAACTACAGGTTCAAGGTACAAGCCTGATGAGGCATTGGGGTTGAAGTGAAAGAGGGCTGTAGCCAACAGAAGGTGAATATAATAAGCCCTTGCCTATACATACCCATCTGGCCTGTTTATTGTTTGTTAATTGTGATGTGTCTTGCATTCACCCTCTTCCCCTCCTTTCTCAGCAAGGAGAAGTGGTGGATGTGGATGAGGAGACAGCAGCTATTCTACAGAACTCAAGATTTTCTAGGAAATTCCTGATCCATCCAGTGGGACAGAAGGTCTCATCCCCAGAAGGCTATATTCCTGGGAAGCAAAAGGTTGGTTAGACCCTAAAGCAATACTAATAGAGCATTATTGTATCCTAAGTCATTTGTGGTTTTAAACACTAGCATGAGCACCTTAAATTAAGCACAGAAATGAACTGGCAACCAATGCAACTGTTTTAAAGCACAGGTTGTATGAGCTCTAAATGGAACCCTGAATAGTAATCTGGTGGGTGCATTTTGGGTCTGTTGAAGTTTCTGAGTTGTCCTCAAGGACAGCACATTGCAATAATCCAATCTGGATTAACGCCTACTGAGCCTTATGCCAGATTAGTGATTTTTACTTTACAATGAAACTATAAAAGGAAATTTCTATTCTTAGGATTGTGATAAAACTACCACACTCCTCATAAGCATGAGCTGGAGAGTTTATTTACATCTCTGCAGATTTCCAGAGTCTTTTTTCCCATGGAAGTGTGGAGTTGCAGTTCTGCAGAAATGAGATGGACTGAAAGGGAGGTTTTCACACTTCAGTAACATCTACTGTTCTCAGACCTGCCCTTTCCCCCCGAGGTCTGCTGCAGACTTCTTCAAGTCTTGCTCCTGTAGATGAGCAAACTGTGATAGTACTAGGGAAAATGTGTTTGCCAAGCTTAGTTCATTTTGGGGCTTAATCCAAGGTGCTCACACTAGCGTGGTGCAAAGAGAAAAACAAGTGAGGGCTCTTGTATGCCATTTCTGAGCTTCAAAAGCTCCATGTGACAATCGACACAAAATCCTGTCCCTCCGTTTGAGTTAGAGATTGAGGGTCAGTTTGGCAACCAGAAGTTTTAGCTGGCTAGCAGTGCCAGACAAAACTTGTAAATTCCTCTATTCCTCTGCAGTGGTGTCCAAACTTTTTTCAATGAGGGCCAGATTTGATGAAGTGAAGGGCCGTGGAGGCCAACCAAAGTTGTTGAGCTTTTTTTTAGGATTTAACCCAGGAAATAAACTGTCACAGGGGCCAGATTAACCCAAACGGCAGGCCGGATTAGGCCCCCGAAATGGACTTTGGACATGCCTACTCTATAGTCACATCCACACCATACATTTAAAGCACATGGCTTCCCCCAAAGAATCTTGGGAACTTTAGTTTGTTAAGGGTGCTGGGAATAATAGCTCTGTAAGGGAACTACAGTTCCTGGTATTCTTTGTGGGAAAGCCATGACTGTTAAAGTGGTATAAATATGCTTTAGATGTGTAGTGTGGATACGACCTGTGTGCATGTAAATTATGTTGAAATGTGCTTCGTCCAGACTGAATAGCTATGTTGATCCTCCCAGAATTGGATTTGGGGTCTCTGGCATCAACTACAAATTTCTAAGTATCTCAGTAGATACATTCCAGGAGAGTCTGTGAAGCCATTCCAGCCTTGAAATTAACGCATAGACCGTTCAGAAAAGATGACGCGAACAAGCCCTGCATTAATCTGGAGTCACACCTGTGTAATTTGCAGTGCATGTACACTGAGACTTAAAATGATTGCCTGCAGAAAGGGAGCCCTTTTGAGCAGTGCGGCACGTTGCAGCGGCAGATGAAAGGATGACTAGTGCTTTGGATTCCCCAGGGGCTTCTCTGTACATCCAGCATGCTTAACTGACCCTCCGGCCCTGACCCTATTTTGGAGCTGGTCTATCTATAAGAAGCCTATTCCCTCCTCCCAATTCATCTGATGAAGGCAAACAGCTGTGTGTCCTAGAAAGGATAACCTTTTGCTTATTGGCGTATGGAAGAGGGAGGATGAGGGCATGAGAGGCCTTTCTTAGATAAGCAGCAAAGTCCAAGGGGAGGTTTGCAGTCAGATGCTTTAGGCTTAACTCCACTCCCAACAGAAACAACTAAGTTTGGTTTCTGTAATAAAGATTCTGTGTCATCACTGCAATGTAACCCAAGCTTATATATCACACCATAGAATTTCTAAGTCAGGATTGGATTAACCAGCAAGTCCAAAGCCAGTTCTTGGTTACTTTCCCCCAATATCCTGCCTCTTGCTGTAAGCACTGGAAAATGTATGCTTTTTTCAGTCCAAGGATTAAAATCCTGTTTTGGAAGAAACAATGCAAGGATAGACTCTGCTATGCTTAGGACAGGTTGCTCTCATGTGTGGATGAAAGGATTTAGGTCAACAAAATACCAAGGTCAGGGGCAGCCTAAGCAAGATATTTTGCTGCTTGAGGCAGAGCTGTAAATGGTGCCCCCTTCCTCACACATCAAGGTACATGTTACCCAAGGCTGGTCACATTATTTGGGCACCTGGGGCAGAAGATCCCACAAGGGCTTCTCCTTCTCCCTGGTTGTGAAAATACAACAATAATATATTAAATAATTGTCAATTTCCTGCTGTCACATGATACTCAGAATTAGCTGCTTTTGCCTGCAGACACACCATCCCTAATGCTAGGGCTGGTCTTGTTGCCTGTGTGTGACCTACATTGAAATCCCAAGGCTGCATGTGTTTGTGGATGACATTTTAAAAATTAGGTTGTAGGTTGTGGTATTTGTGTGTGTGCGTGCACACCCACACATACCGTATTTTTCGCTCGATAACCCGCACCCGACCATAACACGCATGTAGTTTTTAGAGGAGGAAAACAAGAAAAAAAATATTCTAAATGAAACAGTGGATGTATGACTTTTGTGGTTCATGCTGTGGCCACAGACATGTGATCTGACAGTGAGTTTGGGGTAGCCCAATGCAAAAATCCTGAGGATCCATGTGGATCCATGTTTGTAACCACGTTTTTGCACCACTGCGGCCCCAGGCAACAGTGGGTGCGTGATTTTTTTGGTGCAAACTGTAGCCATGGACATGCTATGTGATCTGATGGTGAATTTGGGGTGACCCAGTGCAAAAATCCTGAGGATCCATGTGGATCTGTGCTTTGTAACCACGTTTAAAGTGGAGAGGGAAGGGAAAGCACTCAAGGGACAAGGAGCATGCGTGGAGCAGGCTCTGCTTCTCTCCCTCCTCCCCCCCCCCCTTAGCGAGCTGAAAAACTTTGCTGGAGGGACAGAGAGCCTGCTTGCTTTAAAGGAGCCAACCGGACAGAAGCCGCTTACACTCGTGTAAGCGGCTCCTGTCTGCTAGGCTCCTTTAAAGCAAGCAGGTTCTGCTTCTCTCCTTCCACCCCACCCCACCCCCCCGCCCTTAGCGAGCTGAAAATCTTTCCTGCTATTTCCAGCAAAGCGGGAGAAGAGCCACTGAGTGGGGAGGAGAGAGACAGAGAGCCTGCTTGCTTTAAAGGAGCCAACCGGACAGGAGCCGCTTACACTCGTGTAAGCGGCTCCTCTCCCCTCCCGCTTTGCTCCTTTAAAGAAGCAGGCACTCTGTCCCTCTCTCCTCCCCATTCAGCGGCTCTTCTCCCGCTGGAAACCACGGAGGAGGGAAGCATTCGCTCCGTAACATGCACGGACATTTCCCCTTACTTTCTAGGAGGAAAAAAGTGTGTGTTATGGAGCAAAAACTACGGTACTTCTTTGTTAATTATTTATTGTTTTTGTATCTTACTTTTCTCTCTAAGAAGCTCAGGGTGGTCCTCCCCCTTTTAATCCCCACAACCACCCTGTGAGGTAGGTTAGGCTAAGTGACGGCGACTGGCCCAGAGTCCCTCAATGAGCTTAATGGTCAAGTGGGGATTTGCATCCTGCTCTCCCACGTTCTAGTCCAGGGGTCCTCAAATGTTTTCAGCAGGGGGCCGGTTCACTGTCCCTCAGACCTTGTGGGGGGCTGGACTATATTTTAGAAAAAAACATGAACCGCCACGGGGGGGGGGGCAGGGAGGAAGAAGAAAAAGCCGGAGCCGGGAGCCCCCTCAGTCACAGTCTCCACTGTGGGAGGAGGGCCCAAGCGCTGCCGCCTCCTCGCTGGCCCCGACTTCCCGCCGGCCCCCTCGCTGCTCCCTCCCCCTTTCTCAGGCCTCGCCAATGCCACAGGCCTCAGCCTGGGCAGGGACAGCAGTTGCTGCCGCTGCAGAACCTGCCCCATCCCGGCCCGCTGGCCCAGGCTGAAGAGGAAGGCGCCCAGGCAGAGAGAAAGAGGGCTTTGGCCCAGTGCCTCCGAAGCAGGTGGGCGGTAGGGAGTGAAGGGAGAAGGGCTGCCTCTGGGGTCGGGAGGTCCACTGTCGGGGCTCAGAGACCCCACCTCCTCCTCTGCCTTCCCTCAGCTGGGAAGCAGCGACTCACCTGGATCCTGTCCCTTGGGCTGAGCTCTTCGGCACGGGGCGAGAGCGACGACCAGAGCAGCAGCAGCCCCAGGCAGGAGCCGAGCAGCAGCACCGCACGCAAGAGGAAGCCCAGCTTCAGCTGCATCCTCAGTGCCAGCCCCACAAGCTCGCCGAAGCCATGACTGACAAAGCCGCCGACCCCCTCACTGCTCCCTCCTGTGTCACTCTGTGCTAAGCTCCCCATTGCTGTGGGAGCCATGGGCAACTGCATGTCGGCGGCGGCTCAACGAATGAAAGGCTGCATCAGAGTTTACCTCAGCGTGGCACGGGGACTGATTGGTCAGTCCCTGCGCCATGCTGAGGTAAACTCCAACATGGCTTTTCATTCATTGAGCTGCTGCGTGTCGGCAGGTGCTCTACAAATGAAAGGCTGCGACAGAGTTTACCTCAGTGCGGTGTGGGAACTGACTACTCAGTCCCCGCGCCGCTGAAAAACTGTGTCGCAGATGCTTGCCTCAGACACTTGGCGGGGGTTTTCAAATGGCCATGTGGGCCAGATTCACGGCCCTTTCAGGCCACATCCAGCCCCTGGACCGTAGTTTGCCGACCCCTGTTCTAATGCAACACTAAGGGAGGCAGCACAGCAGTGCCCAGGAGGAGAGTCACTCCAAGGCATCTATCCGTGTTTAGTGATAGGACGGTTAATTCCCCTTGAATGAGATAATGACTTTCACGCAAAAAAAACCAGAAATTGCAGTTTTTATCGGGCACAGATGGTGCAAGGACAAAGCATATGATGTGATTATCCTGTTCAAAGAGAGCTCCTCTAAGAATGAGCTGGTGCAGACATACTTCCAAACTAAGTGGCCAGTCAAAGCAATAGCCTGTTGTCAAAATCCTTTGAACTCATTCATTCATTATCTCTGTGCTATACTCCTTTTTCTTTTGCGTATCTATAGCATATAGCCTTGTGGCTTTATCTGTACCTACTCTAAATACCACAAACAATGAGGAAAGACCTTGAGGCCTTCCTTTTGGTTTTACCTCTTTTGGAAGTGAAATTCGGAACTGATTTAGCCCTTGAAAGACACCATGTGCATGAGTTCAAAAGTATTTTGTTGCACTCCTTGGTGAACTGCTTGCAGTGATCCCTCTTGTATGCAGTTTGAATCAGTAGAACTGAATTTTTAGAAGCATTGAGTTGGATCCAGGCCACGTTAGTTGTGGTTTGCTCTCTTCAAAATCAATGGGACAAGTTAGTGATCCAGACTTCTTATTGAAACTGATAAGACTTAAGGATGACTGACTTAGTCTGGATTATAACTCCTTTATTTTTACTGTGATAGTCTTGCATATTAACCTTATGAAAAACTATGAAAATACTAGAGAAATGCTTAAAAACTTCTTTACTGGGTAGCAAAAATTCTTCCTTGATATATAATAACAATAAAAACTTAATATAAAATGTCTGCAAATGCAGAAATTAGGTAAGTGTAATGTATGCAGTAATATGAAGATGTTAAAAACCTTATGAAATCTTAAAGAAGACAATCCTCTTCTTATCTTGCCAGTGGCAGGGAGCTAAAAATTGTCATTGCACATTTTTTGCTTTTGCCCAGTTATTGGCTGCACCAGAAAACATTTGTCTTTTACTGTAAAAGTGAGCACTTGAAATTAAATTGTAGAAGATTCTGTGCTGTAAAAAGCAGGATGGGGGCTGAAGATCACTTTTGATGTGAAGATCATTTATTTTCACCACAGATGCCATATCTGACGAAGCCCTGGGTTAAAGTAGAAGCTGGCAAGAATACCCTTGCTCTCTCGTAGAAATTGCTTTGGTGTAAGGCCTTGGTTTGGGATGGTGTTTATTATCCAAATTGCAATCATACCATCCTGTTGTGACAATTACAAAATCACCACCTTCTGTATATTCATTACTTTCTCTGGTGTCACATGGTAATTTTACTTGCCGGTCAGTGGTAGTTTTGATACTATTAACTATTAAGTTTGCAAATATGCTAATAGTAGAAAGTAAAAAGAAACAGTGAAAACATGCCCTTTCTAGCTTAGGTAACACAGATCCTCATCACCTTTTTCACTTTGACCCTGTTTTGTTTTTGCTTGTATTTTTTTTTTTTAACAGGAGAAACTCAGGGATCCATTTAAGTTAGTGGAGCAGATGGAGCCAAATGTCCCTGCACAAAATCCCTCAGGATGCTGTGGAGCCAAAGCATGCTGCTGAACCTTTCAGTGTAAAATCAAGAGTCTGAAAAGCTACAGTGGAATAAATCCAAAAATGAAAAGCAAGAAGAGAGATTGCAGTCAGAGTAAAGGAATAAATTATGGCATTTAGATGCTCTGCTGTGTTGTTGTATATTGTCTCAAGAGTGAAAATATCTTGTCTTAAAGCATTGGTGGGAAACCAGATGTAGCTGGACTATAATTGTTATCATTCCTGACCATTTATTTAAGGAATTAATACACTGTGTTTTGTTTTTTTAAGAAATCCACCGTAAAGCGAATTACAATACAGTGGTACCTCGGGTTCCATACGCTACAGGTTACATATGCTTCAGGTTACACACTCTGCTAACCTAGAAATAGTGCTTCAGGTTAAGAACTTTGCTTCAGGATAAGAACAGAAATCAGGCTCCGGCGGCGTGGCAGCAGCAGGAGGCCCCATTAGCTAAAGTGGTGCTTCAGGTTAAGAACAGTTTCAGGTTAAGAACGGACCTCTGGAACGAATTAAGTACTTAACCCGAGGTACCACTGTATTTTTGAACACAAATAAATTCCGTAAATTCTGTTAAAAATCCATAGTTAGCAACAATAAACAATAATAACATTAAAATTACCAGCATAAAACAATAACCATAAACTACCCTCATTCATACCTCCTCAGATCAAAAGCTATTGAGAAAAAATAGGTTGTTAAGGCCTTCTTTTAAGAAAATGAATTGAATTCCAAAATTGTGGAGCCACCACTGAGAAGGCCCTGTTATGCAACCTGGCAGTCTAATTGCTTTTACTGGTGGGTATGCTGGCTGGGGCTGATGGAAGTGTAGTCCAGCAATATATGGTGGTCCACAGTTTCACTATCCCTGCCTTAAAGAACTGCCAAAGATCCAGCAGGAAGACAGTAGTGGCTTATCACATGTGAGAGGTAGCAATACTGTTGCTTGGGACACTGAATCAAATCCTCTGTAAGTGAAGGGTACTGTTCTGTATCTCAGACTCTTCCCTTGTGGTCACAATACTCTTGAATGGCGTCATTGGGAAGTGGACATCCATAAACCTGATCTTTTAGAAGGGGTTATATATACAGGTATTAAGTAATCTCCCTATGCTCTATTACAGCCAGCTTTGTCCTCTTTCTAAACTGTAGGGAGCTGCTGAGCTGACAAAACAGGAGCTACAGATAGCGATAGATCGTTCTAGGCTTCAACATTAGGACTTTGAACCAACATATTTCTAAACTCGATCTGTATGAACTGAGATAACTGTGGCAGGGTTTGATTAAACAAGCACCAGGAGGAAAGGCATTCAAAAAGGTATGTAGTATGAACACTAGGGGGAGCTGTAAGGCTTTTGAATGTTGAACTGGATTTAGTATTCCAAGATAAACAGGGACTGTACTTTGCAAATTCCTATAACCAGTTTTTTACCCTTTTATTGGGAATGGGGGGGGGGGAGAGAGAGAATAATGAATGATGAATGTTGCAGTTTAGCACTAAATTATGGAACCAAAAGTGTAGGCAGATAGTTCTGGGGGCCACTGACAGGTCTTGTTCAAGATGGTGTCAAACACACATATTACCTGCAGGGCAATCTAGACCAGTTGCTCTAGGATTAGGGCCAGCAAACTTTTTCAGCAGGGGGCTGGTCCGCTGTCCCTCAGACCTTGTTGGGGGCCGGACTATATTTTTTTGGGGGGGGGGAATGAATGAATTCCTATGCCCCACAAATAACCCAGAGATGCATTTTAAATAAAAGCACACATTCTACTCATGTAAAAACACCAGGCAGGCCCCACAAATAACCCAGAGATGCATTTTAAATAAAAGGACACATTCTACTCATGGAAAAAACACTGATTCCTGGACCATCTGCGGGCCAGAAGGCAATTGGGCCGGATCTGGCTCCCAGGCCTTAGTTTGCCTACCCATGCTCTAGAAAGACGCTCTCTTGGAGGTGCCCCCTTTTCTTCCACAAAAGACCAACTGGATATATAGGGCAGAGCAGACACTAGTGGGAGGCCCAGCAACTTCCACAATAATCAAGTGATAATGCTAACATCAGGTTGCTGCCAGGAAACATCCTTCTTGGTTTTCATTTTGGTTCCTCCTCTTTGGGAATATCCAATGCGAAAAGCAGCAGTTGCCTTTTGTCCTCATGTAAATATTATCGTTTCCCAGTTCAGTGAAAACATATATCCAGTTTGATTGGTAATGCAAGTGTCTTGACTAGGATTTTAGTAGTCTCTTAAACAAGCTTGAGATGCCATTTTTATAATCTGAGAATGTTTAGGCTAACGATGTTTGGTAATTCTGTAGAAATGCAGTAATCCTACCATAAAATTGTGTGTGAGAGAGTGCACAGTTTCACCATATTTAAATTTCTAGCCAGAGCTTATGTCAAGGTCTGTTTGCAGATCACCGAGAAACCAAGTGGCAGATAGAAGAACAAGTTCACATATATCAGCTGATTTTATTTAAGCATTCGTTAGTGGCGGTGGCTGGTAAGTATTCAAGTTGGTGAGATGGTGACCAGGGCAACTAATGGGAGGCAGAGGCAGGCAGTCCCTGGAGTCAGTCATACAAACGTAAGAAGAGTCTGCTGGATCAGGCCAATGGCCCATCCTAGTCCAGCATCCTGTTCTCACAGATGCCTTTGGGAAACCCACAGGCAGGACCAGAGCCCAAGAAAAGTCTCCCCTCCTGTGGCTTCTGAGCAACTAGTTTTCAGAAGTATTGCTGCCTTGGCACGTGTAGGCAGAGCATAGCCATCAGGGCCAGAAGCCACTGATAGCCTTATCCTCCATGAATTTGGCCAACCCTCTTTGAAAGAATGTTGGCAACCATCACTGCCTCCTGTGGGAGTGAGTTCCATAGTCTGTGTGCTGTGTGAAGTACTTTGTTTTATTTGTCCTGAATCTTCCAACATTCGGCTTCAGACAACTAATTCTGGTTTTCTCCCCATCCTCCCTTGAAAATGTACAGTGAGCACTTAGGCAGTTCTCAGACACAAGCATCAGATGTTAGCATTTCTTTTGTTAGTGTTATTAATTTATTAATCATCTGCACAAATGTCTCATGGCAATACATAACAACAAAAAACAGTTAAACCACACAAGTGAGCAGGTGTATGTGTGTTTGAAAAAAACACTAAAAAAACTAAAGACACATCAGAATAAAAATGTCTTTGGTTGTTTCCAGAAAGTGCAGACAGTAGATGCCTACTATATTTTGACAGGAACGCTGTTCCACAGAACAAGGGCAATTCTGTGCTCCTGAAAGCCAGCTCTGAGTTATTGTGGAGTGGACTTCTGAGAACTTTGGAACTTGCAGGACAAGCTCTACCATAGGCTGCAGAGACCCACAGGATGAATAAGGGGTAAGGCAGTGTCTCAAGTTACCTAGTTCTGAGCTGGATAGGGCCTTTTATGCTAGCAGCAACACCTTGAGCTTTGTCTGATAGCAGATTGGCAAACGGTGCAAATCCTCAGAGCAAGGTGTTATATGCCAGCAGTAGTTTGACCCCACAAGCAGCCCAGCCACTGTATTCTGCACCAGCTGCAGTCTCAAGACTAACCTCAAGGGTAAAGGTAAAGGTAAAGGGACTCCTGACTGTTAGGTCCAGTCACAGATGACTTTGGGGTTGCGGCACTCATCTCACTTTACTGGCCGAGGGAGCCGGTGTACAGCTTCCGGGCCATGTGGCCAGCATGACTAAGCCGTTTCTGGCAAACCAGAGCAGTGCACGGAAACGCCGTTTACCTTCCCGCTAGGGCGGTACCTATTTATCTACAGTGGTACCTCGCAAGACAAATGCCTCGCAAGACAAAAAACCCGCTAGACGAAAGGGTTTTTTGTTTTTTGAGCTGCTTCGCAAGACGATTTTCCCTATGGGCTTGCTTCGCAAGACGGAAACGTCTTGCAAGTTTGTTTCCTTTTTCTTAACACTGTTAATACAGTTGCGACTTGACTTCGAGGAGCAACTCATAGAACGCGGTGTGGTAGCCTTTTTTGAGGTTTTTAAAGACTTTGGTGATTTTTGAAGCTTTTCCAAAGCTTTCCCGACACCGTGCTTCGCAAGACGAAAAAAATCGCAAGACGACAAAACTCACGGAACGAATTAATTTCGTCTTGCGAGGCACCACTGTACTTGCACTGCATGCTTTCAAGCTGCTAGGTTGGCAGGAGCTGGGACCGAACAACAGGAGCTCACCCCGTTGTGGGGATTCGAACCGCCAACCTTCTGATGAGTAAGCCCTAGGCTTTGTGGTTTAACCCACAGCGCCACCCATATCCCTCAACCTCAAGGGTAGCCACACATATAATGCAGTAATCCAACTGTGAAGTTACCAGTATATGGGCAACTGTGGCCAAGGAGAAAAGTTGGACACCTAGAAATGTTACGTTTCTCCAAGTCTGCATCAAACACCTAGATTTACCTGTGATTTTTCAGTTCTGCATATAACAAGACAGACAGAAAAGACTCCTGGGAGTCTCTAAATGGTAGAAAAATTATGAATGTGAGGCTATAGGACACAGGACTTCTGAGTTCTAGCACTGGATTTTAGGGTGCAGAAAAAGCAATGGTACGACTCTGCCACATTTGCCCTAGGGACCAGCCTCCCCTGTTTAGGGGTTTGGCTAAAAAGAAACTCGAAGAATGCAGTTGTCTAAATAGACCTCTTCAGCCCCCCCCCTTTGCTATTATTCATAAATACTTTTTGAAAACATTCCTGCTGTGATATTTTCTCTAATTAATTTTGGTATCAAAGATGATCTTTAGAGTAAGAATGAAAGTGCTGATGGCTGTGAAAACTGTCTTCATTAAAAAGACATGAAATCTTAACCGCAGCTTTTCAAAACCCCTGTGGAGGCTACTAGAGAGTTTCATCAGTATGACTCCCCTTTCAAGCGCGCATTTGTTAAAAGGCCATTGTTAAATGCCAGGACATTTTGCTTTGCTTTCCTATTCTATTAGCACTTGGCATGTCAGCAAGGGCCAAAAAGTTTAAAAACTTCCTGCATCTTTCCTGGCATCGAAGCTTAGCACTGATTCTATAAACATGGCCTTAGATTTCTTGACGGCTACTGGCTGGTTCACGCATACAGCCTTATCCACAATCACTGTATTACCATGTAATCATTGCTTGCATGTGTGGATCCAGCACCCCAAGTTGAAGTTTTGCATTATCTGATATAACTTCAATTGTCAGATTTGTTTCTGTGCACATCAAGGAGTGCTAACGGGGCAGGGATATCTTTACACCTTGGCTAGTGACAAAATGGACGCGGGAGGCGCTGTGGGTTAAACCACAGAGCCTAGGACTTGCTGATCAGAAGGTTGCCGGTTCGAATCCCCGCGACGGGGTGAACTCCCGTTGCTCGGTCCCTGTTCCTACCAACCTAGCACATTAAAGTGCAAGTAGATAAATAGATACCGCTCCGACGGGAAGGTAAATGGCGTTTCCGTGCGCTGCTCTGGTTTGCCAGAAGTGGCTTAGTCATGCTGGCCACATGACCAGGAAGCTGTATGCCGGCTCCCTCGGCCAATAAAGCGAGGTGAGCTCCGCAACTCCAGAGTCAGTCACGACTGGACCTAATGGTTAGGGGGTCCCTTTACCTTTACCTTAGAGACAAAATAAGAACAGTTTAAGGACTCATGAAGCTGGTTTGAGGAACAATGCATCAGACAGTAGTATTTTATGACAAAGCGCAAGGTATATATGCATATTTTGGATTGCATAGCGTGAACCAGGATTGAAAACCCAGCACTGGAAATGCCTGGAATGCGTGGTAAACACAGCCTAAGCCTGATTCCCTCATATATTGGGCTGACATACATTGATTTGAGACCTGTAAACTCATTGCTACTGTGGAAACTGGCAGCTTAGTTAACTTTTGTGACACCTTTGCTTTGAAGTGAGTTGCATGTTTTTCACAATTGGCCTGAGAGCAGCAAAAGATGAAGAGATTGCAAGAGGGGGAAGGAAGCAACCAAACAGGTTAGCAACAACAGATTACAAACTGCTGCGTAAGAAATCTTGTGGTATCTCCAAACATCTGAACAGGTTCGCAATACTTTGCTCTTTGGCCCCTCAATGAAATCGAAGCAGTTGTTCCTGCTGCTTTGGTAGTAAAGACAACAAGCTGCATTCTAAAAAAAACAACAACCTTACATAGCCCTTGAACTCATAACTTGTAGCCTGTGAATGATTTATTCCTAAACTGAGAATTACAAATCGAGTAACAGCATCTAACAATTCCAGAAATCAGTAATGCTGCTTAAATTTATGTGACAGATTTGAATTATATGTTTGCAACAGCAGTTTGATATTATGGATTGGAATTAGCAGGGATCAAATGGGGAATTTACTCACACCAACCTCCCCAGAACCCCGGGGGGCGGGGCTCTCAGAATAATGTGGATTGTGCATTGTTGGAGGCAGGGAGTATCTGACACACATGTTGGTATTTGAGGGGCTAGAGAGGCACTTTATTGGAAGGTCTTTTGCATGGGTACCACATGACTGGATAGAAGATATGAGTACTGTACAAGATGGTTTGGAGAAGCCAGAGACAGATTGCTCCATTATGCCTTGCTTGTGAGCTTTCATGCAGCAAGTGGCTGTTCACTGTTGTTTCGTGGACCTTTAACCTGATCCAGCAAGGGAAACCCTGGCATTCTTATGTTGCTTCACTGATGTTCGAAAAACCCAGATGTGAAGCATGTTTGAACAGCCCGCTCTGGAAGGCTATTCTTCTCCCTTTAAGAATGGTAGATTAATAAAGATGCATTATAACACTAAAAATTGAAAACTGATGTTTAACTGTGAATTATGAAGAATGATATTCACTCTGAAACTATGTTTATAGAAAATCCATCCATATTTCAGCTAACCCTAGAATTAGGTGTTTTCTTGGCCAGAGCATCTTGGCCATCTTTTAAATTGGGTGGCAAACCTGTGGCCCCGCAGATGTTGCTGGACTACAGTTCCCAGAATGCCTGTCCATTTGTCATTCTGGCTAGGGCTGATAGGAATTGGAGTTCAACAACATATGGCAGGCCACTGGCTGCTCTTCCTTACTCCCCACCACCCCTGTTTAAAGCCTTTTCAGATTTAGCACCTAAATCTGTAGCTTCCTCCAATTTGTACATTAATTAAGCCAAATGCTACCTTTAGAAAACAAATGATGGCTTTCATGGCCTCTTACTGGGAGATAAAACAGCAAGTATTATTTATGGTAATTCTTTGCATATTGCTTTTAAGATGCTGTTTTGATCTGGTTAGAACCCTGGGGCTGCCATATGCTAAGAAGTTGCTGTTAAGTGAATTGACCTTATCAATATTAAATGTCCAATTCCCCAGCAAGCAAGAAAAATAAATAAATGTCAAATCAGGAGCAGGGGGCCATATATACAGCAGGAAGCCATTGAGACTGAAGCCTGTCAGGTTAATTTTTAATTGCTTTATTGTAGGGCCTCATAAAAACTCGGATAAGAAAGCAGCAAAGGTGCTCCATATTTTTAGTACTGTTCTGTTCTAAAAAAGCACCAAGCAGTAAACCAGTCTGATTGCATTTTGAAACCAAGGGCTTGTTTGCACAATTGTGTATCAAGAGAGCAGCTTAACCCTCTTCAGTCTTGGAAGGAACTAACAAATGAACGAATGAACAACTGTTGGGATAGCAAAAGATTCTGCAGGGGTTGGACTAGATGGCCCTTGTGGTCCCTTCCAACTCTACAATTCTATGATTCTGAGGAAGGAAGGAATTAAATGGCGTGGAACTAGATGGAATAAGATAAGCCCCGGATAAACTCATACATGACGGTGGATAGAGCTGATGAGCATAGTGAAACTGATTGAGGTGTTTATCACTCAAATCTGATTCATGAGAGCATTGTTTTAAATTGGGTTGATGTTCCAAACATTTCCCCTTCCTCATACTGCCTACAGTGGAAAGGAGAGTCTGAGGAGTGATGCCACACCACCTGCTTTAAGTAAAAATCAGGGAGAAACAAACCTCAAGAAATTATCACCACGGTATCTCCCCAGTTACAGCTCCAGCCCCCCACTATTCAAGTGTAACCCTCCAATCCCTGTGCTGTCTAATTTTGTGACTACAAATGCTGCAAAAGTGTCCAGTGCCCCCTCCCACATCCAAAAGAAACAAAAACTGAAAGGGAAATTCTCACTGCTCAGAGGAGTGGGCTGTGTACAACTAAGGCATTCAATGCTAGAGGCACTAGGCAAAAGATTATGGGACAGCCAACTGCCCTGATCCTGGTCAAGATAGAAAATCTAAATACAAAAACACCATAAAATCCAACTTTAACATAACTTACCTGTTACAAATGCCTTGCAAACGCAGGTTACACGACCCACTTAGAGAATGTTTTTATATGGCTGGCAAAGCGAAAGGAGCTGAGAGTGAATCAGGAATGACAAACCAGTGGCCTGCCAGATTTTGCTGGACTTCAGGTCTCATTATCCTTTTCAATTGGCTGTGCTGGCTGGGGCTAATGGAATGTGGACATCTGGAGGTCCACTGGTTAGCCATCCTTGGTGTACATGTTTGTACAACTTTACTTATCTTTCCTATACCCACTTATCTAGGAGTAAATCCCACATATCTTGGTGGTACTTCCTTTTGAGTAGACAAATATAGGATTGTCTTGTGATTAGTTTGGTGTTTGATTTTGGCACCAGAGGGAGCTGCACTGCAATAAAAAGAAGACTGAAGAGGTAAAGTATCCGATCTAAACCACAGGGAAAAACAATATTAAGCTCCATACAAGTACATTTCTGTGGCTAAATGTATGGAGGGGCAGCATATATGGCAATATATATCATACCATATAAGGTTGTAAACTGCCAAAAGATTGGAATGGAAGGTGCTACATAAATGTTTAATATACAAATAAAGAAAATAAAAACAGACTTACTAGGCAGTGCTAAGCCTATTTATCAGTGAAGACAATGGGATGTTTCTATGTCAACATAGTTGGGCTATAAGTGTATATAGATATGAAATAGGAATGTGCAATGATATAATCTACACCCCACTGAAATAAATGGCACAGTTGCCCCCATCAGGCCTGATAGATCTTGACAGCAATCTTTGGCCCACCAGATGTCATTGGACTACATCTCCCATCACCCCTAAGCATTTCCATATTGGCTGGGGCTGTCAGGAGTTGGGAGACCAACAACATCTGGAGGGCCACATGTTTCTCACCTCTGTGCTTCTGGAAAGATGCTAGCCTTGAAGATGGTTTGGAAGCTACAACTTTTGCGGAATTCAGTTGTTAGCTAAGCAGTACAGCTCATTGAAACCACATAATACTGGTTCTTCAGGAGCTGCACTAGTTGCCTGTATTCTACTGAGTCCAGTTCTATGTGTTAATGTAAACTTACAAAGCCTTAAATGACATAGGATCCAAATAGTTTCCTTATACCACCCTGTCTGGGACAGTCACACTCTCAACTATGAGATTTGCTTTCAGGTATTTCTTGCTGCCATTCTTACTTGGTTTCCAGCACAGCTGAAGATGTTCCCTAGGCCTATGGGTAAGTGTGATTTCTTCAAGGCTAGCTGCAATCTGATGAATGTCTGTTTGCTACATAATATGGTAGTATTTTAGACGAGCTTTAAACTGTCATCTTCTGTGTTATAGCAGCACTGAAGTGACCTTCCGAGGCAGCAGACCTGTGCAGTGTGTATAGAGGTCCTGGGAAGCCCTGATGATGAGACCCCCTTTCAGCCTCCCTGTATAATATGTAGTGTCTATAGATTAGGTTGCAATCTTTCTATTTCACAAATGTTGGTCCTCTATTCGGAAAAAGTCTTCTACGTAGAGGGAATGAGATTATATGAAAATGTACTTAAAGAACAGTTGTCTCAAAACACTATGCTATTAAAGAGATTACAGAACATGCAAAAAAATTGCTCTTTTCAGTGTAACTCATGGGTTCTTCTCATATAATTTACTCTTGGAACTTGTTGCTCAGGCAAGGAGCAAACAGAAGTAGGGGATGTGGCAATGGATGACACTCAGCCAAATATCACCATACCTTTTTTAAAAAACAAAAACCCATATGCCTACAGCTACACAAATGTGCTTCATAGTATTCTCAGTCAGGTACTATGTGGTTTTTATATTGGATTTTCTTCCCATTATTGAATGAAATGTGGATCAGGAAAAATTGAATTTAGGGAAAAGTGCAGGATGAGGAGAAAGTTGCAAAAACAAAAATTGAGTCACAAGAAGATGGCTTGCTTGCTAAATCTACCTAATTTTAAGCCAAGGTATCAAACAACAGTATGGATCCCAGAAGGATGCAATTAATCGCTGAAGCAATATATTTATTGCAGTGACTAACAAAACAGAGATATGAAACTCTAAAGCAAAATGTTTAGTCCTTGACTTGATGTTTCTATACCTCCTGCCAGAAGGCAGTAGTGCAAACAGACTGTATCCCGGGTGAGATGGATCCTGCAGGATGTTGTTTGCTTTCCTAAGGCAACGGGAACCGTACAGTTCTTCCAAAGGTGGGAGAGGGTGACCAATAATCCTTTGGGCTGTGGTTATGACCTTCTGGAGCACCTTCCTCTCCCTAGCTGTACAACTGGAGAACCAAGCACAAATACAGTATGTGAGTATGCTCTCTATGGAGCCTCGGTAGAAGGACACCAGCAGTCTCTCACTCAGATTGTTCTTTTTTAAAAGTCTGAGGAAATAAATTCTCTGCTGGGCCTTCTTCACCAGAGCAGTGGTATTTGCGCTCCAAGTCATGCCCTGATCGATAGTCACTCCCAAAAACCTGAATTCCGCCACCCTCTCCACCCGTTCCCCGTTGAATCTGAAATGTTTTGCTTTTAAGACTAATATCAGTATTACTGTTGTGCATATTGAGCCAGTCACTCTCAGCCCTAGCCTACCTCACAGGGGTCTTGTGGGGGGATTAAATGAGGAGGGGGAGAACCATGATGCAAGCCACCTCGAGTTCCTTGGAGAAAAAGGCGGGATATAAATGCAGTGATGATGCATTTATTACATGGACAATTTGGGAGAGTAGGGTTTCGCAGACCTATTGTCTCTGCAACCTATGAATGTGAAATTTTTACGAGTTTTAATAGCCCGACAAGAACAACAGTCTTAAAAGAGGAAAAAACCGTCAAAGGTAAATGTGCGCAACAAAAGAAAATGCTGACAGGGGAAACGTGCCTCTGTGACAGCGAGGTCGAGGAGGGCGGACCTGAGGGAAGGAGCGCATCCTTCACGCACGAGCAGTTTCGCGCTTAACATCTCAAGAGGAGCCGGCACAAAGCTCTCGCCTCTATTGGCCACCCTTCCCACCAATTGGCGCTCTCCTCCCTTCCCATTGGCTCGTCGTTCAGCCCGGCTTGCGCTCACATACACACAGCAGTCATGCGCTTCTTTAATTTGGGGGAAGGCGGCGGGGCGAACCAGGAACGAACCCGCCCCCCTTTCGCGGCCGTAATAAGAGTTACTGGATGAGGACGGAGCGCGCAAGCGGAGTCTCGCTCGCCTTCCCTGCAACACGCGCCTCAGGCCTCCTTCCCTGTCCCGTAAGCCGAGCGAAGCTCTCCTCCCACTGTGGCTCGTGTGCGCAAGGCAAGCGGCCGCCGGCCGGCTCGGTGGCTTTCGCCTCCTCCCCCCCTCCGCTCCCCTATCGCATGCGCGTCTCCGATTGGACGGTTGTTTTTCCTTCCCCTCCCTACTCCAGCTCGTCGCCCCGCTTGTACTCACCTGATTGGCTGCCGCGCACGCGCGGGCTCCGCGCCCCCCTCCCCCCGTCCCCCTCAGGGGTAGGGGTTGGAGTTGCTCCTGGCCGAGGCCCGGCAGTCGCTTGGCATCCCTCGAGGGATTCGCAGCTGGCCGTGGCCGTTGAGCGTCGTCGCGATGGAGCTGCCCCGCTTACTGTGGCCGTGGTAGTGCTACTGTGGCCGTGGGAATATGGCCGCGCCGCTGCCCGCGGCTGCCGCCTGGCTCCTGGCCGGGCCGGGGGGAGGCGGCGAGAGGGAGACGCGGGTCGCGCTGCGGTCGCCGCTGCTGCTGCCGCTGCTGCTGGGCATCCTCCTCAGCCGCTGCCTGGGAGAGCAGCCGCCGCGCGCCGCCTCCGCCGCCGCCGCCGCCGCCGCCGCAGCCTCCTTACTGCCCGGCGCCTCCGACTCTGAGGAGACGGTGATCATCGGGCTGCGGCTGGAGGACACGAACGACGTGTCGTTCATGGAGAAGGGCGTGCTGCGAGTGAGCGAGAGGAGCCGGGTCAAGCTGCGGGTCTACGGGCAGAACATCAACAACGAGACCTGGTCCCGCATCGCCTTCACCGAGCATGTCCGGTGGAGGGATGGCGAAGGCAGGCGGCCGCCAGCGGAGCAAGAGGACGGCCCGGCCCCCGTGGGCTCTACCTCCCCGGCCCCGCAACGCTGCGGCATCCGCACCTCGGACATCATCATCCGGCCGCACATCACCCTCAACCGCCGCACGTCGGGGGTCATCGAGATCGATATCAAGCCGTTGCGAAAAACGGAGAAGAGCAAGTGCTATTACCTGTGCACCTCCGTGTCCTCCCCGGCTATCCTGGGGGGGGCAGGGAGCTCGGCCGGGGGCAGCGGTGGGGGAGGGAGCATCATTGGCCCCGATGGGGGCCCGTGGACCGAGACCACCTGGATCTACCATGATGGTGAGGATACCAGGATGATCGTGGGAGAGGAGAAGAAATTCTTGTTGCCCTTCTGGCTTCAGGTGATCTTCATCTCCCTCTTATTGTGCCTCTCGGGCATGTTCAGTGGACTCAACCTGGGACTTATGGCCCTCGACCCTATGGAGTTGCGTATTGTGCAGAACTGTGGGACAGAAAAAGAGAAGAATTACGCTAAGCGTATTGAGCCTGTGCGCCGCCAGGGGAATTACTTGCTCTGCTCCCTGCTTCTGGGCAATGTGTTGGTCAACACCACTCTGACCATCCTGCTCGATGATATTGCTGGTTCTGGACTGGTGGCCGTGGTGGCATCCACTATCGGTATCGTCATCTTCGGTGAGATTGTGCCGCAAGCTATTTGTTCCCGGCACGGCCTTGCTGTAGGCGCCAACACCATCTTCCTCACCAAGTTTTTCATGATGATGACCTTCCCGGCCTCTTACCCAGTCAGCAAGCTTCTAGACTGTGTCTTAGGGCAGGAGATAGGTACTGTCTACAACCGTGAGAAACTACTTGAAATGTTGAGGGTTACTGACCCCTACAATGACCTAGTTAAGGAGGAGCTGAATATAATTCAAGGGGCGCTGGAACTGCGCACAAAGACAGTGGAGGATGTAATGACTCCACTACGGGACTGCTTCATGATTACTGCTGAGGCTGTGCTTGATTTCAATACTATGTCTGAAATCATGGAAAGTGGTTATACCCGTATACCTGTATTCGAAGGGGAACGCTCCAACATTGTGGACCTCCTTTTTGTCAAGGACTTGGCCTTTGTGGATCCTGATGACTGCACTCCGCTCAAGACCATAACCCGTTTCTATAACCACCCGCTGCACTTTGTCTTCAATGACACCAAGCTTGACGCCATGCTTGAGGAATTCAAAAAAGGTGGGATGGTGGTGGTTGGTGATGGGAGTGGGGAAGATGAATGCAAAAAGGAGCTTTAAGGGCTGGAATTTTGTTTATTTTTATTTTTTAAAGAAATGAGAACAGAGATTCTTGGGGTGCTGAATATTACTCAAAACAAATTTGATGCTTGCATGGTGCAGTTGTAGAGTAGCAAACAGTTTCTTTCGCCCTCACTTCCCCCCTGGTAATAGGGTTTCATCTACTGCCCTATTCATTTTTGAGTCTGCACACTTTGTTGAGTATTATTATATTACTAAAGAGGTTATTTAACATTTTTTCAGCAGACAATGTGTATAAGCATATGATATGGAATCCTTGCTCCCTCCTCTATGCATCATTCTTATTTACCTTGTTACATATGGTATATTTTATGTGTCCACACTTTGTTTTTTTATATGTACATCTCACTTTTCTGAAAAAAGTGTTTCTCATGACACAAAAGTAGTTTTATGGGCCAAAGTCACGTGTTTGTGTAAAAGAGCATGTACAAATATGTAAGCACAAGATGATGGATCACAAGATTTGTAGCAGTGTTCTTGGCTTACCATTCATGGTTTGTCTGAGAGAGACCTATGACGAGTTCATATTTGCTCTGGGTACTGTGGCAGCAGGAGAATCTGGGGAGGAGTGAAGCAGCTGTGATTTTTTTGGTGAGTAGCTGCATGGTTGCACATTCATGCTTAGCCATGGTTGGCTTAGTATTACGTGCAAACTGAGCCTTTGAATAACTCTAAAACTGAGTTCTGTGTTTAAAGCTAAGCGAAGTATTATTTATAGATAGTTAAGAATTAATTCTGAACTAAAGTTGTCATATGCTGCAAGATTCTTACCTGGAAGACATTTGTGTGGGAATCAATATAAAGGCTGGATGAAGATTATAACATGTGGTCTGGATTGGTGCTTTTCACTCCTTATACCCATACTGAGAAACTGCAATTGGTTGTGTTCTCCCACTTTCACACCCTGTGAATTTGGAGTAAAAACGTGTACAATAAGGTCACATTATGATCAATGTGTAGGTTTTCCATTAGGTCTTGCACAGAAGTGTCTTTTGTATGATAATTCTCCCGTAACGTGAAGTGGTCCTTCAGTGAAGGCTACACTATAAAATATTATTGGTATTTACAGTCACTCTGTGTTTCCTACTACTGGTACATACATGGTAAGTGCTGACTCTAATCATGAACACTTAATGGGCAGCTTGGACCATATGAGTTCTATGATTTCTGAATTCTGCAATATAGCTCCTTTAGTCTTATGATGATTAGAAAAAACACTTAGAAAACTCTCTTGCTCTAATTATCTGTTTCTCAAGTTCAATAAGCAAGGGCACAAAGGCTTATCTTTGATGATTACCCATCAGTTGTGGAACTCCTCACTGCAGACTTAACCAAGCATGAGCACCATTTGGAAAAACTGTACGACCCACCTGTTTGAGCTGGTCTTTAGCATCAGTTATATTGGGAAGGTATAGCAAAAGATGCACATTGTTCTGTTTCATTCATTCATTCATTTTTTTGTTAAGCACCCTGAGTCTTCAAGTTGGAGCAGTCTAGAAATCTAAAGAAACAAATTATTGATTAAAAGTCCACAGATCAAATTTAGTGACCTGTGGCCCAGTGGACCATCTTTAAGAATTGCATTTGCTATACAGCTGGGCAAACAGGTTACTGCTAGTGTTAACCTTTTCTCAAGGTAATTCCTGCACTGTGACTGAACTTTTGCACTCAGTTTCTGATTGGTAGACAGTAAACTCTGCTATCTTGCAAGGCTTGCAGGAGAGGTTAATAATAATAAAGGTTTCTATGCTTGAAGCAACAGAAAGAGCAGGCAAGTAGTAGGTCTCTTGTGTGAAGATTGAGAAATGCTATTGAGTGACAGAGAAGATGGAACCACTCAACACCTACTTTGCTTCTGTCTCCATCTAAAAGTAAAGCAGTGCCCAACCTGGTGATAACAGAATAAAGGATGCAAGGGAGGAAGCTGAAGCCCAAGATAGGAAAAGAGATGGTAAGGGAACACCTGGTTATTTTAAATGAATTCACATCTCCAGGGTCAGATGAGCTGCTCCCAAGGTACTAAAGGAATTTGTGGGTGTAATCTCAGAGCCTCTATCTATAATCTCTTGAGAATTTTTGGAGAACAAGTGAGGTCCCTGCGGACTGGAGATGGGCAAATGTTGTCCCCATCTTCTAAAAGGGAGAAAAAAGAAGGCCCAGGTAACTACTGACCTGTGAGCTCGACATCAATACTGGGAAAGGTCCTAGAACAGATATTGAAACAGCCTGTGAGCACTTAGAAAAGGATGCTGTGATTACTAAAACCCAGCATGGTTTTCTCAAAAACAAGTCATGCAGACAAATCTTATTTTTTTTATAGAGTTGCAAATTTGTTGGATCAGGAGAATGCTGTGAACATAGCTTATCTTGATTTCAGTAATGCTTTTGACAAAGTCTCCCATGATAATTTTGAACAGAAACTGGTAAAATGTGGACTGGACAAGATAACTGTTAGGTGATTTTGTAGCTGGTTGACTGACCAAACCCAAAGAGTGCTCACTAACGGTTCCTTATCATCCTGGAAAAAAGTGACAAGAGGGGTGCTACAGAGTTCTGTCCTGGGCCTGTTGTTGTTTAACATATTTATAACCCACTTGGATGAAGGTATTGAGGGGATGCTCATACAATTTGCAGATGACACCAAACTGGGATGGTAGGCAGTGCTGCTGAAGACAGAATTAGGATTCTAGATAACCTTAACAGATTGGCAAACTGGGCCCAAACTACCAAAATGAAATTCAAAAGGGACAAATGTAAGGTTCTGCACTTAGACAGGAAGAACCAGCTGCATAAATATAATATGGGGGGCACCTGGCTTGCCAGTAGTACACATTAAAAGGATCTACGGGTCTTAGTGGACCACTACCTGAACATGAGTCAACAGCAGCAAAAAAGATGATCAAGGGCACCAAGCCTTATGAGGAACGGTTGAGGGAACTCTGTATCATTAGCCCGGTAAAGAGGAGACTGAGAGAAGATATGGTAGCCATTTTCAAATATCTAAGAGGCTGCCACATGGATGATGGAGCAAGCTTTTTTTCTCCTCCAGAGGCTAGGACCCAAATCAATGGATTTGAGTTATGAGAAAGGAGATTCTGAAAGAACTTTCTGACAGTAAGAGCTATTCAGCAGTAGAACAGACTTCCTTGGTGGGCTCTCCTTCCTTGGAGGTTTTAAAGCAGAGTTTGGATGGCCATCTGTCTTGTATGATGTAGCTGAGATGCCTTCATTTCATTTTCACTTCATTTCAGGCTAGATGACCCTCAGAGACCCTTCCAACTCTACAATTCTATGATTCTATCTAATCAGCACACTTAACATTTTGTTCTAAGCTTTAGTTTTCCCATTTAATAGTAACCCATGTTTGAGTTGACTATAACTTCTGAAATATTTTGATTCACACAAATTAATGAGAGACCTTAATGGTTAAATATTCTCTTAACCGTTTACATGCCTGCTGTATCTTTATGTATTTTAGGTAACCATTTTCTAAAGAAGGTGAAAATGAAAAGGTAACCTAGGATGTTTTATGGTCACCTGAATTATAACTTCTGAGCAGTACATTTGGGCAGATTGAGTGATAAATTATGAATTCTGAAGCTATTTCTTTTTACTATGGCTTTCCCATTTTTATAGCAAAAGCTTCCATTTCTACAATGTCACTAAAAGCAACAAGAACAAGAGGACTATGATGGAAAAACCCAAAATGGAATAATTTAAAATGTAACTAAAGCAAATGCTTGTTTTCCAGCCCTGTTGTAGTAGATGCTTTTAGGCTGCAATCCTATATCAATTTACCTGAGAGTATGGCCAGCAACAATAAAACTGTTAGCACATTTGCAAAGCTAAACGAGGTCTGATATGGTTTCAGACTGGATGGGGGAACCACTTGTTGAGATACCTTCATTGCAGGGGATTGGACTAGGTAACCCTTGAGGTACCTTCCAACTCTACAATTCTATGATTTTATGAACTCAATAGCTTATTCCCAACTAGCCATGCATAAAACCACAGGGTTATAGGAATGTAAGCCACGTTGAACACTGCATGACTGATTTCTGAGTAAAAATGTATAGGATTGCTTTTAGTGGTAGTGTAGAAGTGAAATACGGTCATACCTTGGAAGTTAAACGGAATCCATTCTGGAAGTCCGTTTGACTTCCAAAACGTTCGGAAACCAAAGTACAGCTTCTGATTGGCTGCAGGAAGCTACTGCAGCCAATCGGAAGCTGCAGAAGCCCTGTTGGACGTTTGGCTTCCAAAAATAGTTCACAAACTGGAACAGTCACTTTGTTCAGGAGCCCGAACTTTCAAGAACTAAGCTGTTCGAAAACCAAGGTACCACTGTATGTTGCTATGAAAATGCTGGTACTATATTAAAGGTTTCTTTGTAGTAATTTGCAAGCCTGTCTAAATAATGATTTGTACACATTTGTTTCGATTGGAGATGGGAACCTTCCTTGATCTGATCTGGTGTGTGTGAGAGAGAACTACTCTGAAAAGCTGTAGTAAGGACCTTATTCCATTGTAAAACAAAGCCTTCTTGAATCTGGTAGGTTAGTAGTGTGGTATTGTATGGAGGGAGCCCATGCCAAAATTGTTTAGGATATGATTTAAGTCATATTGTTTCCACATAACTTCCAGACCTTTTATGGGAACCATAGATGTTCCTGGTTATTGCACCATAATGTACTGGGACTCGTGTATTAACATACCTCATTTTTGCTATTGTATCTGTATTATAAGCAACTGTACTTTTTCATTAGTGATGCCTTATTAGCTTTGAGCTAGTTGGTTGAGCAATAGTTCTCTGATATAAAATATGTTTGTAAAATAGCAAATTCCCTTTACTATTTTATCCCAACTTGCTAATAAGGTATCATGATCCCCCCCCCAACAGTAGAAATATGCTGATGTCTA